CAGGCTCAAATAACCAGGCTGACACAGCTCGCTCTCATGAGATTCTTCCTACACATAAAATAGTTCCATATGTTTAAATGTTGAGTGGTTGAGCAAGCACAAAATTAATTCTATTATAACAATGCCTTACTATTAATTTTTCTTGTGCCTTAAGGCCCAGCCACTTACAGAACCCAAACACAATTGAAGCCCTTTGCTTCGTCAGATGCTCTTATCCACTTGAAAGACACGCGCGACCGCAGTGGAACGGAAATGTTAACGTTACAGGCAGCACTGAGGCTCCCAGACCGGCACACCTCGTAACACACCACTTTTGTTCAAGAATTCTGATTACTTATTTCTACATTTTTTTTGGCTGGTGACTTACTAGCACTTTTTTTCCCCGTCCCCCCCCCCCCCCCTTTTTTTTTTTTTTTAAGGCACAGGGAACAACTCTAGAAATACAGATACTTTTTTAGCAGTGTTTACACTTTAGGGCAAGTTCTTAATCCCCCAGGCATCCGAATCAGCACCGCACGGCAGAGTGCCACTTTTCCCTCCTCGCTCACACACCTGGGCCTGCTATCARAAGGAAAGGACATTCTATAAAATTATATTTAAAAACTCAATTTTAACACCTTGGATTTTCATGAGGGTTTTACAGATTGCTTTTTTCTGTAGTCTTATGGTACAGAAATTTTCATTCCCTGTATCATCATCCCAACCCTCTTTTGTATTCTCAGCACACAATCCATGTGGGTCAATGAAAAGCAAACAACTTCTACCGCAGTGCCTACATGTGATACTGCAAATACTAATAGGAAAAAAATAACTAAAAAAAAGCTTCCTATTATATCCTCTCTCCACTGGTAAGAGCAGGGAGAAGCATAAGATGGTTTGCCTATCAAGTATATAGTACCATGGTTAACCAATGATCACCAGAAGTCTTTTACAGCTAGTTTTTGAAAAGCCAAATCCTCACCAACCAAAGAGGCCCAAACCAGAGGGACCAGTGGACAGCAGCCCGATTGCTCCCTCACCCAGTCCCCCGCAGAGGAGCACTGCACCTTTCCAGGTTCACAGCACAGGTCCTGGAGGGCAGAGTCAAGTGACAATACACCATACTGACTTTAACATATCGTGTTACTACTTTTTCAGCAGAGAACTGTATTTTGAACAACAGCGCTAGCTGGAACAGGAGTTTATATCTAAGACTGAGTTCCTGATGCTTCATTTAGAAATACTGGTTTTGTAGTACCTGCATGTGGTCTTGGGTTTACTTTACATCTAGCCAGAACTCCAAGCAGAGAAAATCACTTCAGTTGAGGTTTGGTTTCAAGCTCAGCAGGAGATGGAAATCACGGCTTGCTAATATCATTAACGATGCCTCATAAGCTGATCCCAGCAAAGCAACAGCTCCTGTAGGAGTCGCAGAACAAAATTCCTCGGGAAGAGCTCRCTCAACCCAAAGCATAACAGTGAGCAGCAATAATCTGCCATGCAGTATTAGCCAGCTTATTCCAAGAGCTGGAAGTTAACACCCTTATCGGGAAGAGCCTCTTGGGTACAACCAGCTCTGTGCTAGGGATGTGATAAATAGTTACTTTAGAAGTTCCCCCTAAGATTTAGCAGCCTTAAATTCTGCCATTCCTATTAACTTAATGTCTGCTATCATAAAAAGCATACTTTATGCTGTAAATTGGAATCAAATGAACAATCATGCTACGCAGGAAGAGATGATTAAGTCACATAAACAAGCTGATGGTGCAGCTTTCTGAAGGGGGATTTCAATTTAATTAAGTTCTCCCTCTGAATTATTTGACCTCCTCTGAGAGCATTCTAAGTTTTCAACCTTCTCTACATGGACAGCATTTAACATGTCTAATTTCAACTGGACATACTATTCATATCTTTTTACCAATAAAAAGGTTGTACGTAACTTACATCCCCTTCCCCTCATACTGAAAGAAAATACAAAAAARATTGTTAGAGATCTTCCCACATAAAATAAAAGCTTAGAGTTTTGTCTCCACATGTTCTAAAGCTCACTGCAAAGAGAAGTGTACAGATAACAACAGCAAAATTCATTACTACCGAAATTAATGGGAGTTCAGGCATGGGCCTTAATTTAAGCCAGCTCTGTTCTTATTGCCTGCACAGAATATTGGTTTGGTAAGAAAAGGCTGTCGATGTAGGAATACCGAGAAGTCACAATTTCCAGATCTGGCTTTGCAGAGCTCTGTACATGCACAGTATGCATAACTAAACCTCAGTGAGATCTCTCTGAAAGATAAATCTATTTGCTTTTCAGCTTTTCCTTATAAAGATGTATGAAATACATTAAAGCAAATTAGCAAAAGATTCTTAGAAAACTACAAAAAGAAAGCTGGACCCAGAGACTTGGAACCAAGTCCATGAAGGTGGGATTCTTCTCTAGTCTAAAAAGTTAAGCACCTGAAATTTCCCTCCAGGGATCGCATTTGTTCATAATTGCAATGCAGGAGACCAATTTCTACAGACCACATCTTTCAAATGATCACAAAACTTTGTACGAGAATGAGATTTAGGAGAAGAGTCACCCCTCACCCAATCTGTTTTCCCAAAACATAAGCTTCCCTAAGGAAAAAAAAAATGTAATTCTGATTTTTCAAAAAAGCATTTAAGCAGCTATCTTATTTGGTTATCCAATTTAGCAGAAAATCATCATTGCCAGTGGAGTAAGATGTACATCTTGCTTAGCATTCCAGTCAGAACTGTTTTTTTTCCTCGTGAAAACGTAAGCCCAGGTTCCCAATCTTAATGGCTGTAAACAGCTCCGAGCGAGCCAATGCAGTGCCTGCTTCCCAGATTTGCCAAGACCTCTGCTCTGTGCCACTCTCCAGCAGCTGCAGCATTGAGAAGACCAGGCTGTTTCACGCTGCTTTTCAAAAAGCCCAAACACAGCAGCCAAGGGGAAAAAACAGTACTCCTCTCCTTTCTCCATGGCACTAAGCTAACTTGTAGAAGCAGAATCTACTATTATTCCCTTGGGAGAGGAACCTAAAAACACAGAGGTTAAGCAAACGAACAGCTTCTTTCACCAGCCRAGGGCAAGATCTTTCAAAAGAAAACAATACAGGGAATAACCCCAAGCCTACGGCTCAGGGGCACATATGAAAGCTGGAGCATTTGAACATGACCCGAGCCAAGAGCCTGCCAAGAGCCCCTGGCTCCCGCTAGCAGCCGGGTCTGCGTTTGGCACCAGGGCAGCGTCCTCCCGCCCCGCACTAACCCACGGCGCGACCGGGGAGCGAGTGGCACTCACAGTTCCACACCACAGCGTTTGCGACGGGAACTCCTTGCTTCAAGGGGCATCTCTGCACTTCCCTTCTTTGCAACTGGGGTGAAAGGCCCATTTTAGCAGCTCTGCGTACTAGAAATATACATTTATACATGCTTTTAACTAGAAGTCTGATGAAATCTGATGAATCCCACATCAATACAAATTTACAAAAGAGTCATTAAGGATGGATATAACAGCCCTCCTTTAAGATTTTTATCTAGTCAACAGTTTCTTTGGCTCCAAAACACAGGGGAAAAAAACTTAAGCCTCTCCAAACAATATTTGAATGGTCAAGTCCTTCAGAAAAATCTATATAGATTTGATGTTTGCCAAGTTTCAAGCTAAGTAAAACTGATGTCTGCATATAAAGCAGTATAGGATAGTAATGGTAGCTGACCTTTAAGTGATCTGTCAAGTAACTAAGACCTAATGATTCTAGATATAATATCTCAAGAAGAGTTGAACAGATGTTAAACATTTTTCTTTAACACAGATTTTCATGCGCTATGCTTAGCTCTTTTTCCATCAGTGATTTCTTCCAAATATTATTTGTTGTCTAATTTCCATACGAGCAAAGCGCGYAACATCTTCCTCACTGCATGGGATCTATTAACACAAAGCAGGATTTATAAAGGACATACTTAAATATCTAAAAGGAAGATTATTCTGCTTGACTTTAGTCCCCTAAAGAGGGCTCATCACCACAGCACTGCTGCTAGGTGGAACTGTAAGAGGAAAAAAMCTGCTATTTTATATAGCCATAGGCAGGCAGATCATCACAATTAGTTAYAGGAAGAACAGAGAAGTCACCAAGGAAGCTCCCAAACACTGCACGTGGAGAAATGCCGCGTTCCTCCAGACCAGTTAAGCAAGGCGGGGGTCTACACGAGCCAGCTGGAAGCAATTCCAGTACATCACAATGAAGGACAGCCTGGTCACTGGGAAGGCCCAGTCATTGGTTCCCAATGCAAATGGCCAGCATATTTCTAAATCTCAGTTTAAAAGGAAAAAAAAAAAAAAAAAAAAAAAAGGAATATGTCTGTTTGAATCAGGTTTATTCTTCCCCATGCCCCAAGTATGAGGCAAGGAAGATACAACATATAAGAAGCCTTTAGAAGAACTTATGAGAGGAACCTTTACCCCAACACCTCTCTTCTCTATTCTGCACCTGGGGAAAACCAGCAGTTTGGGAARGGAGGCTAAGCAAGTCCAAACTGTTTATGGTAAGAGCAGCTCCCTTCCCCGGCAAGGAGACCTGGCATCGAGACCAAAGAGCAAGCGGCTTCCGAGCAGCAGCCCCTTGGCAGCTCCCTACCCGGAGCACGCGCGTCCGCAGGGGGCTGAAGCAAACTGCTAACACACACAATTACAGCCCCGGCAAAAAGGCAGCTGCACAAACCCTCCAGCTTTTCCTGGGAGGGACAGGCACTGTTTTCAGTACGAAACTGTGAGGTCGAGGCTTGAAAGCCGATAAAAGCAGCATGCAGGAAACATTCTGGAAAAAATAAAGAGCAGGGAGGACAGGACGCGGAGCTCCCCGCAGCGAAGGGGGTGCCGGCGAGCAGGGAARAGGCAAACGGCGCCAGCAGCCCCGAGCGGAGCAGCCCCGGCGCCTGCCCAAGGTGACCAGCCCCCGGAGCGCGGCCGCCCGGGGCCGGGGCTCCCCCCGCGCCCGCGCCGCCCCCGCCGGCGCCCTCACCCGCGGACTCGCCGGTGTTGATCCAGTCCGGGTTCGCCAGGCTGGCGATGGCGAAGATGTCGGCGGCCAGGAAGAGGCATCCTGAGATGATGGTCAGTTTGTCCATCTCCTGCGGCGGGCCCGGGCCGGCGGCGCCTCACGGCCGCGGCTCCATGAGCGCCGCGCTGCCCGCGCTCCCCTCGGCGGCGGCGCCACYAACGGGCCCCCCCGGACGGAGCCGGAAGCGAACCCGGCAGGCGGGGGGGCGGCGGTGAACTCCGGAAGAGAAACCCACTCTCCTGCGCCGGCTCCCCCAGACGGGGCGGGGCTTCGAGCAGGGGGCGGGGCCACCGCCCAGACGGGGCGGGGCTCCCGCGAGGCCGCGCCGCTCTTTCTCCAGGGAGCGGTTGGAAGGCGGGGCGGGGCTTTTCCTAGTGGGCGGGGAAACGCGGTTTGGGGGCGTGGTTTACATGGAAAGAGGCGTGTCCGATGAGTGAAGGGGCGGGTCAGGTGGAACGGGGCGGGGCTATGGAAGGGGGCGTGGCTCTGAAGATGTCTGGAGGGGGCGTGGCCCCGCGGGCGGGTGGCAACCGTTGGTTGAGGGAGGGGCGGGTGCGTGTGGTGCTGCTGGCCGCYGTCCCGAGGCCCGTGTCCCCGGGCCCAGCTCGGCCCCTCGGGACTCTGTCCTCAGGACAGGGGCTTAAATATGAGAGTTAGTTCTGTAGGGGCAAAAGCAATGGCAAAAAGCGCGTAGGTGGAAGGGCCGGTTCCTCAAGGATGCGGGGCACTGAGGGAATGCTCTGTTGCGTTGCAGTCCAAGTTAAACACGCCAGGAAAACTGACCCTTGACAGCGTTTCTTGATGTCCGGCTTTCCCTTGCAATATACTTTCAAGGGGGAAAAGCCCTTGAAGCCAATAAACGAACAATTGCTGAAGGTGGGAAGTGATCCTAGTGCAAGTCCCGGCTCTCCCACGGGCAGGGCCGTGCTGGGCACATGGTGGTTAGTCCGGCTGCTCCCACATCCGCAGGTGCTTGCAGAACACCACATTGCACCAGGTGTTTCTTTTTCCTGCTAGCAACACCCACCTATTTTTACCAACAAGCGTAACTGTAGTCTACACAAAACATATTGGAAAACCAAAAGAGCAGTTTTTTGTTCTGTTTGTTTTTATGGAAGCGCTACATAGCTGCAGAGAATATTGAGAATCACTTGGGATCAGGTGGGATATTACATGATACACTATGGCTCACAAAAGGGAGATGTTAGTAAAGAAATCTTGATGCAAGAGGAGTCATCTGGAACTCTTATTTGGACGATAAAAGCTCTACTTAGGTTGTACTGGAATCTCCTTGACAGATCTTTTAAGAATGGAGGAAAACATAAGACTTTAGATGAAAACCATCTGGAACTGTTCCCTTTAAACAGGGAACAATTGATGTGCGGCAGAAATGAGAGATGTGATTTTCATTTAAAAGCCTTCAAACTTACGTTGCATTAACAATGGAAATCCAGCAGTCTTGAAGTTATTTTCCAAGCATGATCTCTAACCATCCTATAAACTGGCTTTAAGTGGTATTTAAATAGTTTTTAATCCAAGCATTATGGAAAACTCTGTCTCAAACTGAGTTTAGCTCCAAACAAACTTTGTGGCAAAGGGAGTAAAGGATGGCAGCACAGAGAGGGGGCAGAAAGGGAAGATATCTTTCTCGTGGGCTTCTGCTGTGCAGGCAAATCTGAAGTCAGAAATAATGACAGAATCCAGTGTTCATCTTTCTCAGGTTATTAAGAGGTGAGTATGTTTCTATAGGTGTCTGGGAGCTTATGTGCTCTGGGGAAATTGTGCAGCCCCAGACGGAGAGTCTGAGCTGCAATACTCCAAATGGGACAGCCAAAATCAAATCCCTCCCCTTGGCTGAACCAACGGGTACAACCACATCATTTGCCAAAGCCAAACTTCCCTTGCCTCTGTCCCCATGCTGTGACAGAGCCCCAGCCAGAGGGCAGACTGCCACAACTCGCAGGTGGCACCAGTCTCTGCCACACAGGCCCTGCCAGTGCCATCACCACGTGGATGCCATCGGTGCCTGCTGGTGGGCACTGAGAACCCACGCGCCATCGTGTTCTAAACGGCCACAGGGCTTGAGAGCCTCTCCCTACCTGCCAACCTGCTCTTCCTCCACAGGTCRCCGTGGACAGCAGCTCATTTCCAGGACACTCGCCTCCGACGCTTGCTCAGTGATTTTGGCAGCTCAGCAAATCTTGGCTCAATGGAACGGGCCGAGGCTCCTGAGCCAGCAGGTAGGGATGAAACCTCTGACCGTCAAACTCTGCTCATCCCTCTTCCAGTTTTCTTTTACATCTCCTCTTTGCAATTCCAGTATTTTTCTTCCAGTCCTGTATTTCAGGGAATCTCAACAATTTTAAGTCATTTTGCTACCAGAAAGTTTATCTTCTCCATAGATCTCCAGTGTCCCAATTTTCCTAGAATTTGAATTGATTAGGATTGGATTGGAGTGGAATAGTAGGCGGATGACAAAAGGGGAATGATGTTACTTAACAGAAGAGGAGGGGGTGAGACGCCTGGCTACTGTAGAAGCTGCAGATTTTCAGAGTGGCTTTGAAAAAGAATTGAGCCCAGTTATGAGGACTGTGAAGTAAGTCCTGGTCAGTCTTCTGCAGTAAAGAACAATGGTGAAATCGAGGCACTTTGCTTGGAGACGGTATAGACTGATATCTGGTATGGTGAAACTCAAGAATCTCATCTAAAAACGTGAAATCATAGCATTTCTGTAAATGTTTTGTAGGCTCCAGATTAGTCACAGTTTTGCAGTTTTGAATCTCTCTTATGCAGCAAGATAATGTAATAGAAACAAGCTTAAAAGTCAGGATTCTGACTTTACTAATTAGAGTTAGCTAGATTTGTTATTAGCATTTTTTTTTGTTTGTTGTTTCAGTGCTGAGCATAAGCTGACCTGCAGTCATTCATGAATTTTAATTGAATTTGCTGAATAATTCTGGCTAGAAAAAAACACAAAACAGCCCTCGTCCATGGTATCATCTGTTTACATTTAGTGGCCTGGGAGTTAAGTATTCATTCTGGAAGYATGAAACTAGGATTCAGTTCCCTATTCTGCCTCAAAAGATCAAAACAGGCACTTCTTGAACAGTGACCAAAATGACCATAGGAAAGGTTTCAATACCTCCTATTGATCATGTTCCGCTTTACATCAGTTCCTAGGCATTCGCCGCAGAAATAGGAGCAGGTCGGACATCTGACCTCCCAGAATTGCCAATAGATTACAGTATGTTGCATATTGGGTCTTATTTCTGTTACTTTTCCTACATAATTCTGGAACTTWATCATTTTTTTCAAGTCAAATGTAATATTCTCAACACTCAAAAATGTTAACTTCACCAAAAAAAAAAAAAAAAAGAAGCCTGCATTTTTAATTGGGAAGGAAATAAAAGCAGACTGTTTCCCTCTGTTTTTCAGTTTAGCAGCCAAACTGACAAATCAAATATTCACATTGCCCTACTTTTAGTCCGTATTCTTTTATAGACTTTCTAAGTTGGCATTTAGGGCCTGATCAAAAGCCGACTGAAGCCATTGGGAAGATAATCAAGTTTCTGTACTTGCAACGGGCAGGGTAAAGTGGTCAGAGTTTTCATTAAATGATTTGAAAACTTTGGAGAGAGAGTGCTCAAGCAGTTAAAGTAATCATTATCCTACTGTTAGAAGTTACGTTTACAGATTAGTTCTTAAAACAGCACTTAAAAGAGTCAGTTTTATCAGAAGGAAGTTTATTGTAGGAGGTTCAAGCACTTGTGTGTAAGTCCTACATTTTTCCTGGCTCTTCATGAGAAGAGCAGGCATGAGAAGTGGAGGATTTCATTTATTATCCTATTATATTTCTCAGCGGAGACACTGGGATAATGTCATTTATATTGTATTACTTGTATTATGCATTTTAATGGATAGTGRATGCTCTAGAGTATTTCATTTCTGTAGGTGCTAAATTCAGCAAGTACAATCCCTTCCTTTATGTCAGCAGTAGGGTGTGAAAACAATCTGCTGGAAATTTAGAAATTAATCTCCTCTATAAATATGGGCGTGAAAAATCCATTTTTTGATAGGAATTCAAAGCTTTGTGGAAATCCTTAACAGCTGACAACTCCTCTGTGTTGTTATTCTGTCCTGCGTTCTTTAACTTCCCTGAATGTATCACCATTTTTAATGAATGCTTGAATAATGGCAGTATTACTTTATCTTCCAGTAATATGAGTGAAATAAAAAACTACTGGTATATTGCTAAGTGTTCTAAGTAAAAGCTACTTTCAGAACATTTATTTGCAGAGAGCTAACTTCCAGACTGCACTAACTTTTTGTAAGTGTTGTCAATATGGCCTTTTGGCAGCAACACAGCAGGCAATGCATATCCAAAGAAGCAATGAAGGATGAAAGAATTAACTGCTTGGACAATTAAGACTGGGTTTCAGTATCTGCTCAAATGTTTCCTTAAACATTTTATTGAAGAGTAGTATCACATTCAACTAGTAAATTTTTCCTTTCACTTTTCAAAGGGCAGTTTCGAGCACTCGAAGACSTCTCTAAGCCTGGGCTAAGTGCGACGGTAAAGGCAAATATTAGGATGGGTGAACAAGGATTAGGTCTGATAGTCATTCAGAATGGACCATATCTCCAGATAACAAATCTTGTTGAGGAAAGCTCTGCAGCTCACAATGGAAAGCTAAAACCAGGTAAAAACAAATAATGCTGATATTCAAATTAAATAGTTTTAAAATGTTCCTGTTTTGCATTTATGCTTTGAGCCTGCTTCTGATTTTATTTACATTTATATGGATCAAAGGCAACTCAGTTTAAAATAAAGAAAAAAAGAAACTGGCACAAACTCTACAGAGCTCAATGCCAGCATTCCTTTGTAATGAAATACCTGTGATCTTAAAATAGCTGCTATGGGTGACTATTTCATAATCAGATCAAGATTTAAGTCTGTACATTGTTCTCCAGGAAAAAAAAAAAAAAGGAGATTTCCGACTGATTCAAAGCAGATTTCTCCAAAACTAGTTAACAACAACCTCTATATAGTAACTAAAGTTTTAATTACTGGATTTTGCTGAGTGCATTGTGTTGTTCTTTTTTGTTCCAATAATTTCACTCTACAGGCCATTCTGAAGGCTTTAAGTTTTTTGCCTTATTGTTTGCTTTTTTTCTCTTTAGTATATAGAATATTCTCTGTAGTTGCAATAGGCTCAGTGCTGTAACAGCTCATGCAGGTGTTGCTAAATACTTCAGACTGGATATGTGCTCTATCAGTACTAACAGGTTATTACTAATCGTTAAGGTTTCCTGGAGAACACCAAACACTTATATTAATCTTGAGAGCTCTGTAAACTGGACTGCATCTTATGAGTCCCCAGACCAATTGCATTAGCCTCATGAAATACAGTTTAGGAATGATTTGTGTGCTATGTTATTACCAAATTTTAAGTGGTCTCTGATGAGGAAATCCATGAAGCAAAGACTTGAATGTAGTGAAATATATTTGCTGTCTGCTGAAAATGCGCATCTTTAAACAAGAACAGCTTTCCCAGTGCTGTCTTTATCATTTGGGCAGCACTTTCTTCCCACACCTTTCAGAGAGAATTAGAATTACACACACTGAGAAAAGATTTTTCACTTTTGATCTGAGTATAAAAATCAATGGAAAAATCCTGAGCATAAAATATAAATAGATTTGCATCTAACTAAGTGTATTTTTGTATTATGCTCTGTATAATTATCTCAGGAGTTTTCAGCTATTCTTCAAGGAAAAAAGTATACGAAGATATATACATATATAATCTTTGTATATATATGTATGTATATATGTGTGTGCATATATATGAAGATGTATATATAATAGGATTTATATATATATATATATCTGTATGGCACAGATGTTTTCCTGGCACAGATGTTTTCAACACAAAAGGGTTAAAAAGGTAGAACAGATGGAGAAGCTCCTTGCTCTGCCTCCTATGGCAGCACACTGCAGTACTGCTTGTTGCAGTCCCCTATGCTTTGCTGTTGCAGTCCAGCATATAATGTTTACTGATACAGCTCYGCAGTGCAACTGTCAGGGTGTTGATAGAGCTCTAGTCTGCTGCAGATTCATTTGAACCCCTCTAAGCCCATCTTGCAATTTCCCAGCGTTTACATATCCCTATGTATTAGTCCTGGGCTTTGTCTGCTCCGTCGGTCTTGGCTGCAGCATTGCATTTTACAAAACGGCAGCCTGGTGCTTTCCACCGGGCACCTGTATTGAGTGCAGCTTGCACCCTTAGCCCTTACACACACACACACACACACACACACCCCTCCGACACCCCTTTCTGCTGAAAGTCCCCAGTTAAAGTACACGCTGTAACCAGCTCTCATGGACACCTCCTGCATCTCTCCGCTGCCCTGACAGCATCTTGCACTGTGCCAATGTGTCAGTCATTCTCAGAGCACAGGACCAGGCACTGAGGACAGTCAAACCTGGGGCATGGTGACACGGCAGTTAGGCAGATTCCCTGACAGGTAAACTTAGGCACTGGAGAGGAAGGAGCCTGTTTGGCTCGATACCAACATGGATCCAGCAAGGTGAAATCCAAGCGTAGGCAGCAGGTACACACAGACGGGCCATTCCAGCTGTGAGGAGATCCCAGGAAGCAGGGGAAAGCTGCCAAGAGCAGAACTGTTAGCAGGGCAGCTACATAACCTCACCTCAACCTTGCTGGAGCCTTGCCTAGTCTGAAGCAGTGTTACTGATCAGTGTATTCACCTTTGTATCTTTTCTCTTCTAGAAAGACACAGAAATGCAAGCTGGCATTGAGCAGGCAACCCGAAGTTTAGTACATTAATTTAGACAAATCCTAAAGTAAATAGCTTTCCTTAGTGTTACGGAGTTAGTACTTGACAGAGCTATTGGCAGATCTTTTATTAAAAAAGTTTTTTTAAAAAAAGTGCCAACTGGTTTAAAGAGCTGCTTAAGGCATACATTTTCATACAAAAATGGGAAAGTGGCTAAGATTTCCTATTTTGTAATATAAATGCAGTATATTTGAAAAATTCTTTTAAGCTGACTACTGTCACTTTTTTCCTTTGGTAGGTGACATTCTAATAAAAATTGGACATGCTACTGTATTAGGATGGACTCTGCGAGAGCTGAGGCAACTCTTGCACAATATCCCGGTAGGAACTAACCTACAAATCAGAGTTTGCAGAGATTTTGTTGAATTACCTCAACACTGGCAAAGTGTGGCTGACTTAATTCCTGAAGCAAAGCTTCCTACAACAGCAGAGTAAGAAAGCAGTGTTACAAAACTGGAGTTTCACACTTAACATTAGAGAGAAATATGAAATAGTTTATTAGCTTTTTCTTTTTTAGGATAAAGTGTTGAGGAGACTGTGAAGATTTATTTTCTCTCATACATTTTTATGGAATGGAGCACTGTAATTTGAAATAAATAGGAGTATTTAATTTTCTAGTTACAATGAAGACAGGGTCATGCTAATCCTTATTTTAAGTGTCTCTCTCCACCTCTGCAGAGACCATAAAAACAGACTGGCTGGCAGTAACTGCTGACACCCAAGAAGCCATGCCTATTTCCCATAGTCAAGGATCCAAACAATTACTAGTAGCTGAGGAGGTTAGGATGGAGGACTTCCTACACCTATATAGAGAGCTCTATTATTTCTTAATCAAACTAATGAAAGCAGTTAAAGATTGTAACTTTTAAAATTAGCTTGAAGAGGGACAAAATTTCCTGGTGGTTGTGTGAGGAAAAATGGCATGCACAGACTTTAAAAAATACATTGCTCTGAATCACAAAGATGACTTACATAGTAAGTGTCAGAATAATGCATTGTTGTATACTTCTAGCACATCAGGTGAAGACACTGAGGACAAAGATGACACCGAGACCAGCAGTGATGATGATGACGACGATGATGCAGACTTGGAAACATTGCAGTGTAAATCTGTGCAATCCTCATGTTATGAATTCACTTGTAAATTACCATCACTATCCAGAATTTGCCATTCATCTCATACAAGCCACACACTTASAGTAGGCAAAGACACTGGCTGTGACATCGTGCTTCATAATGACAGTGATACACCAGATAATACTGAATTCAATACTGTTGGCATTAGATCTATTTCGAAGTGGACTACGGAAAATAACGAGACGAGTTCATCCTCCTCCTCCTGCTCTTCTGTATCAGATGCATTCTGGATGGAAGAATTTCGCTTTTCATAGAAATAGCTCAAAACCTGACTTCTTCGAAACTTAAATCTCTGAAGCTGTGTAATACCTGTTCACTTTTAATACAGGATTTTGAAGTTTAGTACATTGGAAGATGATGGTGAAGCATGTTTATACTTCCAGAAATCTAAGCATTCTAGGAAACTGAAAACAGTCACACAAAGCTGTCTCTTTTAGTAGTACCCTCCCTACTGTCAAAGAGATTGGGTCATGCTACTTGTGGAGAAGATGTTCAAATGCATCAACCTCTGCTAGTCTGAGAAAAGTAAGGCATGCCAGCTCTAAGAAGCTAAAATGCATTCATCTGTTTTTGAAGGTAAGTGTCTTCATTTACTTGATGTAAAGATGGCACAGGCAGAAATTTTATCCTGTTTTTCTTCAATAACAAGAATAGATGGAGAGTTATAAGTTTTATCTGCGTCACAAGGATTATTTTTGATATTCTTTTTATATCAGCTAAATCTATACTTTTTTCTCACTTAGTTTCATCTTCAATGTACAGACCTGGAGTTACTAGCTTTTAGGTACCATTTTCAGTACAGAAGACTCAATACAAAATATATGAACTCAGCACTTTATTTGATGTGTGCAAGCCCACAATTACTGCAGATTAATTTTTGGAAAGAACTGAATCCATAAATAACAAGTTAGTAGCAATTTATTTAGAACACATGTGACTTGTAGCTCAGGTCCCTTTTGAATCTGCCTCATCTTTGCTTTTACAACTCATCAAGAAAAGGAGTATTTCCCAAATCCCCGCTAGCTGCCATTGATTTCTTCCCATTGACAAACTTCTTCGCAGCCTGAAAATAAAAGATATAAGAAAATATTCACCACAACACAGTCATCTCTGTTCAAGAGGAAAATCTTGCTGCTCATTGCCTCTGCCTCAAGCTACTTAAACAAAAAACAACCAAATTAAAAAATTGCCATCTAAAATGACTTGCTGCTAATCCAGCTCATTAATGAGCTGGTCTACTCTAGTCATAATCTAAGCAGGCATGACAGCACGATATTCAGAGGTAAAATGCAGAAACTCTTTGGAAATTATATTCTAATATTATTATCACAAGATATAGTGTCTATCTACTTACTCCTAATGCTACTGATAGTTGCTACTACAACACAAGTAAGTGACTATTCTGAAAAAAAAAAACACTTTTAGAATTTATTTCTGATGGGTTTTTGGTGAAATCATGTATAAATAACAAGATCATTTTAAAAAACAAGACTGTTAGGTCAATGTACCAATGAAAACCTAATTCTTTCAGTATTCAGACCAAATATCCTAGACTCAGGAATCTTATCTTAGAACTGGAACTATCATGAAGCTTTCACTAATATCAGTGGGTGTTTTTGGTAAATCAAGTTGATACAGAATAGAATTTCAGGCACGTTCAGCTACACCAGCTCTCTGAAGTACTGGATTCCAGAGGCTTCTGTAAATAAACAGGCCTCATATATAACAGGCCTCTATAACTGCCTGCTAGCAGTTATAGATAAGGTGCTGCTTTTTTAAGGATAGCATATATATGCATGTTTAAAAACACACAAAAGTAAGAACTGGTTTATTATTAAAAAGCAGTACTTAACAAGGYGATTAAGGAACACCTGTGGATGCTGACACATACTTACATTCACAACATCGGCTGTGGCCACAGAGTCGATCTTTTGAGCAACATCAGATGGTGATGTGTGTGTGCCAGAAACCAGGGACTCAGAGCCAATTTCATTCAGTAACCCCTCTGCAGTCTCCACGGACATCAAATAGGTGGCTTTCAGCTGATTTCTGCCATCAAAAAAGTGTTAAGAATGATTGAGCATGTAAGTCCTGTTATTAGTCTTCTCCCTTTGCCAAGTGCAAGGGCAAGAAGGTTTTAGTGCCTTTTATGTCTTCAAAATTCTTCTCCTTTCTGAGAGGTTTTGCTTATCAAGTATAGAAGGGTTCTGTGGTTAGGAAAGGGACAGGATAGTTGAAACACCGACTGCTTTGGAACGATCAGCCACAGCCATCCCATGGGGTCGGAAGACATCTAGCTCAAAACCTGTTTGGGTTTGAAGCAASCAATGCAAGTATTTCAGGAATGAGACAAAATAAGCAATTCTGAATTTGTTCAATAATTAAAGTTGATTCAATTTTCCCATCAAGAGAAGATCAATACAGAAAAAAAAATACTGTAAGGTATAAAGAAGCAAGGAACATAATAGTTAGGTTCCTTTTACAACAGTTCAGTGTCTTTCAGAAGATGGCATGTTTACGCTATAATTTTGTTCCATTTCTAGCAGTCTCACTACTACACATGAAAATTTTAAATAGCTGAAATGGCAGAAAATGGTTTAATCAAAATCATATTCTACAGAACCCTGTTCAAGTAGTTTGGTATTTTTGACCGAATTACAAGACTGCAAAACTCTGCAAGTATCAGTGAATTTTTTTTTCTTGTCACTACAAGACAGTATTGAAGATGTGGGAAAAAAAATAGAAGCTATATCAGAAAGGAAGGAAAGGAAAAAAAATGCATAACACTGTGTATAACTCCCTAATACCATGGAAGTTCCTTTTTAGAAAGCTAATAATGCCAAATATAAAGGCGGGTATTTCAACGCTTAAGCTATGACACAACTAAACATATCTAGGTTATCATGTTCTGGGTATTCAAGCTTTACTTAACATCTTATAAACACGTTATACATGCAACACTATTAATACTCTAATTCTTCTGCTCGGGTGAGTCGTCCAATATTGTTGCGTTGTGCAACTACAGCTTTAAACATTCAGTGCTGTTTAGCTGCATGAAGAGAAAGTACCATCTCACATGCTTAACTGTAAATCACGAACTCTCAAACTTTGTTGGTATTACTGCATCTTTAATGGCACAGTAATCCTCCTCATCTCAAAATACTCTTGGGATATGCATTTAGAGCACTGGATATAGTATCACTAATTCAGTGCTTCACACTTGCAGACCCTTGTTATTACTGTTCTTTGAAGATGCAGAACAGCAAAGTTGTTTAAATGACTGTTTTGGGAATTGGTGTAGTGTGACCACAAGGGGAATTACCTCAATAATGCAATTTAGGATTCTAATTTAAGTACGTGTCAGTATTAATGAGCATGATTAAAACAGCATCTGCTGATGCTTACCAATTCCTTGCACAGAAACACTTAGAAAATATTCACACTCGTTTAAGAAGCTTCTATTAGAAATTACTATTAGCAGAGAATCAGTGTAGCTTTACAAGAGTATTGATTGACTTTACAAGAGTAACAATTTTAAATCAGATTGGTTAGCACTTCTCAACAGAAATAATTATAGGACTGGGGGATGGTTTGCTGTACAAAGCAGTTTAAGTGGTGGATGAGTACTACATGTTGTGTAACTTCTAACACATTAGACAGTTCTTCTCTTTACCCACTTACTTTGCTTTTGTGACATCGGCATCTGTGATGGTGCCCTGAGCAACTGCCTTGATCTGGTTCAAAGCAGCTTTAATGACCTGAGGAAAATTAAAGGATTTAAAATTTATTCCAGCATTTAAACTCCAACATTTTTTTTCTAATATTTCCATTATCTGAATAGAATGACCATTTTAGAAAGCAGTTGACAGCGTTAGGGTTGCTACCCTGGCCCCAACACTAAGCATCTTCAGAACAAAACTAAAAACATCTTACCAAACATTGAAGTGCAAAAAAAGCAATGCAAGTTTAGATTTTAAAACCACATTGATTTGTAGAGTCTCACTCTATATGAGAGTATTCAGTTTTGCCAGCTTCAGAAGACAGTACCTTCCTCATAATCTGCTTAGATGTTACACATGTAAAGCGTTAACATGAGCAATGAAAGGTATTTCACTAGCTCAAGTTCACAGTCGGCAATTGCACTTCCTCATAAAGCACCTCTCATTCCTCTCATTCCTCATTCCATGCTCATTCCAAGCAGCTAGTGGAGTTAAGTCATAAGTGAACATAAAACATTCTTAAGCAAGACACCACATGAATTGATTTGTTATATCACACACCATCACAAATCAAAACACTTGAGAGTAATGTTATTAATATTAGTAGAAATTTAATACTTAAATTCTAATCAGAAACTTACCTCTGCAGCATTTGGGGCCTGTGATATGGTGTAAACTCCAAAAAGCCCAGAATCAGAGTAATTAACATTAAATGCAGAAGCCTGAAAAACAAATACTATAATCAGCTATATTTCAAGTATCATAATAACTCAGTATCAAGCACAGGAAAATAATTACTATTAGGAACTGAAGTGCTGGAATTCAGGAAGCTAGATTCCATCTCTGCAATGGAAAACAAATCAGGTTGGATGGCCTCTTGTGAAATACTTCCAATTTGTACAAGAATGAACTAATAAAGATTCTAGCAGGAAATATTAACCTTTCAAAGGAAAGCATGAATTTTCCTTAGTACATGAACTGCAGTGATCCTTTTAACTTACGTCAAATGGCTGGGTAGTCGCTTTAGCAACACCCTGGATGAGTTTGCTGGTAACATTGCTTCCCCTCTTAATAAGGGGCCCAGCACCTAAAACGTGCTGCAGGACACTGAACGCATTGGCCTCTGCGCTTCCAACCGCAGCTCCTTCTGCTACAACAGCAGCATGGACAAGGCTGTCACCATTCTGTTCTCTGATTTCTCCTAAAAATGTAATAGCAGAATAAAGAGTAAAACAGTGTTCAGCAAAAAACTACTATACATTCACAGGAAGGAAAAAGAAGCATTTCTAGCAAGGAATGATTTCATGAGGGAAAAGCCAGGTGGGGTGAACTTACTGCACATCTACTCAGCAAGACATCAAGAAGTTGTCACTAAGCTGCAGGTCATAACACTGCTTTTCCAACCATTAAGTGTCCTTTAAACTAACAGTCCTTATTTATCTTATAAAAGATTTATGCAAGATATTGCTAAAAGTATTTATGCAAGATATTGCTTTGAAAAACTATTGTTTTGTCTTCCATGGAAGACTTAAAGCAGTCCACAGATTTTCCTGAAAATAAAGCCTTCCTCCACTTCTAGGCAGTCCTTAGTTTATTCCTTATCTCTCCCAATTCCTAGGGCAGTCTTTCAAAAAATGCCAGGAGAAGCTGTATGCCAGATTGTTTATCACTTTATGGAACAAATGATGTTGCAGCTAAAGCTCTGCAGGAGATATAGGTTCAGTTTTCAGTTCCATTTTGAACAATAAAATAGTTATAACAATAATCAGAAAATCAGTTATATTTTCAGAGATATTCTGAAATAATTCAGAACAAGTAAGAAATGTGCTTACCTCCTCTATAGATGGCCTTTGCACCAGAAGAACCAGATCCACTTCTGATATTCAGAAACTGCTCTGCAACTTGCTTTAGTTCAGCATGCTTCACACCTGCAATACAACAGTTTAGTCCAATGAACGTAATGGTTTTGGAAAGTGATAGCACTTATATAAGTAGGTTTTAAAGGTACCTTTATATTTTACTTCTATAGTTTACTCATATTTCTACAGTAATTTTCCTTTATGAATTGCAACATGCATTAAAGAACATACATACCTATTCCTACGAGCGCCATTCTCGCACTTGTAAAATTGTTCTGTACAAAATGGTGAAGCTGCAACAGTAAATCCACATTTTAAGGTATTTTAAATAAAGAACAAAGTATCAAGTGTTTTTTATTCATTGCTGCATCCACTGTTCAGACCTTGTAATCCCAGATGCATCAAATCGCAATGCCTCCAAGAAGCACARAATAGCATACAGAAAAGCATTTTACACATTTTTCAGTGACAGCTATAAATGCCCTCTACATGCATTTCACTGACAGTCTTACTATCAATAGAAAGCTACAGATGTTAACAGCCTTTCTAAATTTGAATTCTATTCTGAAAATTGAAAGCCTAAGGAAACATTATTTTGCCATCAGACTAATAACATAATAAATACTATTTCTTAAATTGATTTCCTTGACACATATCCTTGGCAAAGAAACTTGGAGAACAGATTTGTTARCAGAAATTAAAAAATCCTACCTGCTCAGAGGTAATTTTTCCAATTGCATAATCTGGACAATATAAAGGGTTTGCCAGAGCATTCTTATAAGCTGCCATGTGCAAGTTTTCCAAAACTCCTAAGAGGAACAAGGGTCACTCATGAGGATTAACATTATAGCTACTTTTAATAAAGATTATGAATGAAACTAAATGCTACCCTACTGAAACAGAGCTGTGGTCCATTTGACAGCATTCAACTGCAAAATCTGCAAAAGTAGGTCTGCAATAATCCAATACACATGACATTGTTCTCCTACAGTTATGTTTCTAGTTGTGTTTCTGAATATGTGATTTTTACTAAAACGTTAAATTCCTGAAATTATACTGTAATTGATACAAGTTGGGAAAAATACAAATTTATAAAGCAGTATTACCTCAGTATTACTAATTGYACAATGACCCCTATTTTTCTAAAGTCTTACATTTTGAAGTAAGTTCTCATGAAGATACCACAGGGGATCACAAGGGGATCACTTACCAACTTGTGGGTTCTGAAATGCAATTGCTTTGTCAACTTTTAATTGTGGCTGAAGATCGGTTACTTCCCATGGCCTGAACTCTGGAGCTGTAGTGACATTAAGGAGGAACTCCATTACAGTATCACTAGATGAGAAAAAAAAATTACAAAGAAATTAAAACAAAACAACAAACCACAGAAGTAGYCTGTTTCTTTTAAAATGAAAAGCAATTGCAACCTAACCTACTAACAACAAAATTACTGGAGTCGGAGTAAGTATTAGCAGTAGTGTATGAGAGCTCAACTTCAGCTCTGTGGCATCTATAGGCTCATGAACGTCATGCAGAAGCTGAATATTACTACGGTAATTTATTTATTTTTTTTTACAGACCAGTTTGATAGACAACATATAGTAATTAATCTCACAGTATGTCTGGGTACTTACACATAGTCACGCAAGCATTCAACTGAGTAAGTCATTTTCTCTCTYGTTGAGTACACACTGCATGAGAAAAAATGATAAAATCTATTTCAGTGGAGAACACCGGAATGGGTTTTTACACATATTCCCCACTGTTTGAAAACTTCAACAAGATACCGCCTAGAACATCTAGTCAACCTTAAATCTGTTCAAGATGACTGTTTAAAGTAGCACTAAATTAGCATGAAATAGATACACGTAAAACTCCTATCTTAAAAATTTAGATAATAGTACGTGTCTTGTAATCATAAGAACTTAAGATATCTGGATAATTCAAGTTTAAATAAATAAAGATGACTAGGAAAACTTGAATAAAAAACATGCCTAAGAACCAAACAAGGCAACTATCCTTCATTTCCACTGAAGGTTCATTGTTTAATGAAAAACAGACAAAAAAAAAAAGATATTGTTTTAAGTTACTTAAAACATTACTTTTACTGAATTCTATATAAAACAACATTACTGGACAGTATTAAGATACATCGCGACAAAGCAAGCACAGTGAAAGCCCTTTCTGTTTCTGAGGTTTGTTTTTTCTGKCTTTTATCAGTCAAATCACAGAAGCAGATACTGCCTGCATTGCTCTCAACAGTGGCATAAAAGGAGTGTTATCCTTCAGAGATGAAAGTACTAGAAAAAAATATTTACAGACTTCAGGAAGTAGAATTCTGAAGACTGAAAAGGCTGGAAGAACATCTAACTCTGTGTACAACTCATATTTCTTTCAGGTACCCAACATTTATATTTCCTTAACTAGGGGATATTTTAAAAAAACAAATCATAACTGAATTTTTGAACTAGGAAGATATATGCACAAAAACATTCTTTTTCAATATGCACACCATCACTGTGCTGAGTTTATCCACCTATATACCTACATACTGTAATGCTTATTGTTTTTTCTTTTGTCATATAGCTTGCTTGTATCTTACCAAAAAGATTATTTGTGTAGTTACAAACCTCAGGCTACCCCCAACAGCTTCAATGCCACGAGTAATCTTGAAAGAAGATGCTCCTTTAGTAGTCTATTAGAAAAACACAAAAAAGCACACAGAATCTTAACAACTTTAAGAAGAGCTTTGCCTGTAGTTGTCCAGTGCTTAAGCAAAGTGCTTAAACTCTTACCAAATTGGATGCAAGACGAAGCAAGTGGGCAGTTCCCAAGTTACTAGTAGTTTCATATCTGCTCCCTGCTTTAATGAACACACCAATTCTTGAAGCTGGAGAAAAATTTTCCAGAGATGCWATAACTAAGCCATTTGGCAATTTTGTAATCTGTATTAACAATAAAAGGACAAGTTACTGATCCACTGTAAGTACTGTCACTGTTCAGCTATTTTTCATAAGGAAAAAAAAAACCCTAAATACTCATACTGACCTCAAAATCTTGTCCCTCTGGAGATAATTTCACTCGATCTACTTTCGCCGAGGCTGCAACTTTAGGAGCTACTTTAAGTGAGTAAAATCTCTTCTACAAGAGAAAACATAACAAAAAAAAAAAAAAAAAAACAGATCTTTAGAATTAGTTCATAACATGTTCTACTACATAAAGACAACAGATCTTGTGGTAGAATTACAATGAACAACTTCAAGCCCCAGGACCAAAACAGTAATTCCCTTGTAATTCCTCTGATTGCTTCCAAATCCAAATCCATTGGAATTCAGTGACTTTCATGAGACCTCCGGATGTCCAGGAACTACCACTGCAAAGTGGCTTTGCTTTGCCTTTTCTGATGCATACTGTGACTCTCTGCAGGTTCTATATAGCCTCTAGCATCACTGTATTGAGCAATTAAACAAACATAACTATAGTAGCCCATATATACAAAACACAGCTTTGGAGGMAACTTTGTTATTTATTTGGCATAGTCAGTGTGACTCTCAAAAAGTTACCAGTCACAACCGTAACCTACCAAYGGTGACCGCTGCCTAGATAGAAGCTGCACACACAGCTCCCGGAAATGCAAGGCAACAACCAGAAACGGGCCTTCAAATGGAGGGGGCAGCAACACGAGAGTCTCCCCTTTATGAGGCTCTTAGGGTTTCTCCTGAAATCAAATACTGACGATTTTAGGCCTGAAACGCTGTTCCCCACCAGCCTTCTTGGAAGGTTTTTATATTTGTAACATTGGCTTATTTATTCCTCTTGATTTCACATAAGAAATTCTCTTAGATTTCAAACTGACTAAAAGAAAAACCGACAAACCCAACAGTAGGGGAACCAACGACTTATTTTTTTTGTTGTTCTGCTCCGGACTCTTACACCTGTTTTAAATCCTAGAAAAAAATTCCTCTCCCTCATCCCAGATTAGGTCGACACCTGATTTAAACTCCAAGCTTCCTCCTCACGGAGGAGCAGCGCGTGCCCGACGGTGACCGCGGAGGAGGCCGCCCCGGGGGCGCCCCCGGCGCCGCGGGGCTCAGCGGGGCTCCCAGGCCCGGCCCAAGGGCACGGCGGCGCCGAGGGCAGAGCCGCACGGCGCCTTTCCCGGCAGCGCCGCCTCGCCTTCGCCTGGCGCAGCGCGGCCCCGCGCCCGCCCCGCGTACCGAGAGGCCGCTCGCGACGGCCGGGAAGCGCCTCATCCTCGCGCTGCCTCCGCCGCGTCCTCGCCAGGAGGACAAGATGGCTGCCCGGGGGTAGACCCGGCCTTCCCGGCGTACCCCGCGCCGCGCGGACTCTCTAGCAACGCGCTGTCAAAACTCCACTGCTCGCGCTTAGCATTGGGCCTTGAGCATAGCGCGCCTGCGCAGTGGCRGCCGCGGCGCCGCGCATGCGCACAGAGGGGAGGGCGGCGGGAGGGGAAGCGGCGATAGCCGCAGGGGAGGCGGTTCYGGGGGCGGTTCCGGGGGCGGTTCYAGGGGCGGTTCCAGGGGCGGCCCCGGGGCAGCGGCCCCGCCCCGCCCGGTACTTAGGCGCGGGCCGAGCCACGGAACCCCTCTACGGTGTGGTTGGGCGCACCGTTAGCGATGGATTCCGGGYCGCCCGCCTTTGTGGGCCGCGAGGCGGTGGAGCGGCTCCTGCCCCGGGGCAGCCTCCTGCTGCCCGCGCTCGAGGCGGCGCTCGCCAACTTCTCGGCGGGCGCGGCGGGCGGCGTCGTGCAGCCCGTGCGCGTCGTGCTGCCCGTGCGGCCGCACGGCGGGTGAGCGGCGCCCGGGGCGGGGGGCGCCGGGCGGGACGGTGCGGCCCCGGCGGAGATTCCCCCTCCTCCCTCCCCCACGGCCGCACGAGCGGCGCAGAAACGCGTGGAAAGAAACCTGAAAGAACCAAAGCATCAGCGGGGCCGGGGGCGGCGGGGGGTCCCCGTGAGGCCGCCCGGAGCGCTCGCTCAGACYGTGTCCTCGGCAGGTTCCTGGGCGTCATGCCCGCCTACAGCGCCGCGGACGACGCGCTCACCACCAAGCTCGTGACCTTCTACGAGCACCAGCAGGACCCGGCGGTGCCCTCGCACCAGGCCATCGTGCTGCTCTTCGAGCCGCGGAGCGGAGCGCTGAAAGCCGTGAGTGCGCGGGGCGCCGCGGCCGGGCCCGGGCGGCCGCTCTGCCGCGTGCCCCCCGGCCCCGCGGCCGCCCCGGGTTCGCGGCTCCTCTGGTGCCTTCCCTCCGGTGTTCTCTACACACTGGGGCGCTCTTGGCCCGGAGGGTGGGTGGAAGAGAAGAAATAATCGGGAAAAGTGTGTGCTGTGTGTGAAAGGCTGGGGGAGCCTTGCTGAGGAGCGAGTGTGCCCTGCATAAGCCTAAACAGAGACTTACTATAGGAAATAGCATTTAAGGTCACTGTACTTAGGGTCAGTCCTTGTTGTTATTTATTTTTATTACTTAATTTATTTGAAAGCTTGTGACTAGTAACTGTTTTCCATTGCACTTTTATAGCCATTACTGTCAAAGGGCTGAAATGGGGATGGAAAAATGCATTGGTCTCTTATTCCTAAACTGTGTCAGGGGATTAAAAAGTCTCTTAAGTCACACAATTCACTCTTTACGTGACAGTTAATACACAGTGAGGCACTCCCATTCCACACAAAGGAATTCCTTGCAGTTCCTTCTCAGCTCTCTGCAGTTTCTTGTCATCTGCTGTGAACCTACATGGTGCGGGACTCCTGAGTTGCCCCTTGCTTGCAGTGCTCCCTGATCTTATTGAGTGTATTGCAGTTTCTATTGGTCTGGTCTCTGTGTGGAAGAGTTAAGAGAGTGCAGTACAGGAATAGCTATGTGTGATGCATGGGTTAGCCTTGACCAGTMTCCCCTCTGTGTTTGGCCGAGTGGTATGAAAGAACCGAAATAGTGGAAGTCTTGTGCAACATCATATGTATGTGWCTGCTGTAGTGGCAGTTATTGATACTGATAATTCTGTATGTCCTCTCTAGTAACAAAGAATTCACATGGTTCATAAATCAGATAAAAATGATTAGAATACAGACATGTTTTCAGTGTTTATTATGTATTTTTCTTTTTTAAGATTCTAGATGGCACTGTCATTACAGCAAAACGAACAGCYGCAGTTTCTGCGATTGCTACCAAGGTAGGTCTTCTATGTGCCAAGTCAGGATGGAACTGGTAGGTGGTAYTGTATACATATAYACACATATATAAAATAGCTAGGAAGAATGATATAAACAGCTCTCAGTCTATGTAAGTTTTCTTTAATTATAGCTTTAAATTACAATTATGACAATGTATGTAACTGCAGGGGAAAATGCATTTTTCTCTTAAATCATACTTTTTGTTTTATATATTTTTGTATTTGATGCAAGAAGATACTTGAGCTATACCTGTGATTCATTTCCCAAAGTCCTCTGGGAATTCACTGAGGTCTTTTACTTTGATTTCTGTGTTTGTTGTAGCGTGTTTGTGCATAGCATTAAACAGTACAGGTGCAGTGATAAATTTAGTTCTATTTAGATGTATATTTTTTCTTCTTGGATTAAGGCAGGTGGRATTAATTAGCAAAAGATGAAAAGGTCATCTATTGCCACTTCCAGGTGGCAATACAGGCAGTCTTAACATGGGCTGATGACTTGATCAGAGGTGTCTGTCTCTTTCTCTGCTATTGCTGAAGGATTTCCTGATGAGCAGGGTAGCCCTGACTATAACCCTAAGCTTCTGTGCCTGAGGGACAAGTGCAGTAAATCTTGCTGTTGGTTGCTTTGATTATTTCAGTCTCTGGAGATTGTTGCTTTCAGATTCTTCTTTACAGCATTTTTGGCTGGGCTTCTAAAAGTTGGAAGAAAACAAGTTGCTGCCTATTGCATAGCAAAATTTTAGTCTTCACCTCAAAGAATGATATGAAAAAAAAGAGTATTTTTTAGCCCTGGTTTGTTTATTTTCCTCATCAGCTTTGCTTCAGGCTAAAGGTTGACCTCTCTACTTCATTATTAGCAGTCTTCAGGCCATATAATTCTTTCCAAGGCAATAGAGCTGAGTTGACATAAAATTGGAGCGAAGAACCTGTCCCAAGAGCTTCCCCTGGTACTGCAGACAARCTAAATCACAATGGATTCCTTGGACATTAGGTTATAGGACTTCATTCAACTCAACCATTCTATACTTGGCCAGTTCTGACAGTTGTTACACAGTCAGGGCTCTCCTGGCTTCAAATGAGCTTGGCTGGTGAAGGGACTGCAATATCAGGTCCTTAATTGTTGTCTGTTGTTTTGGGAAACTTTCAGAAGTGTTTGAGTTTAGCTCTTAGTTTCATTTTGTTCCCTTTATGCCACTTGCTTTTCAAAAATCCAGTGCTTTTATGCAGGAAACCTTTGAAATCAGTGCATCAKTGTCTCTGAAAGGAATGTTAAAAAGAGTTCTTGCTACTGAAAAATGTGAACAACTAGTTTTTTTCTTATTTTCTTACAGCAGAATAAAAGTTGAGAGCCTGCACTGTTCAAAAGCTTTTTATGCAGGAGTGACCACAACAARTGCATAAACAAGACACAAGGATAGCTTAGGGCTGGACTCCAGCAGCCCTCTTTTCCCCTTGCCAAGTACTGATGAATTGCAGGCAAGAATTAAACCAGAAAATGAAAAGCAACCACAGGACTGAATCTTAAAAATTACTTCTCAGAACCACTCAAAGTTTTAACAGTATCTGGTACAAGTGTGCTTTTTTTAAAGCAGGAGTTTCACCATCTGTTGCAATTAGATGTCRTATGTTGGGATGCAGGATAAGTACATGTGTATGTAAGCTTAGCTCCTAGCTAAGTCCTAGCCAAGGACTGATCTACCTGTCAGCAGCTCCTGCCCAACCACACTGTCCCCTTTAGTCCCTGCAGGTAGTGTTGATTTGTGGGAAACATCCTCATGAAAAGGTGTGAGACAGAGGAAGATGATACCATCAAACTCAGATGGACATTGGTAATACAGTGCACAAATTGCCAGGAAAACAATCTTTGTTAGCCCTGATGCTTAGGAACAACTTTACTTGCCCTCCCCACCCCTCTTTTSCATAGGAAAAGCAGATAAAATTAGTTTCTGGATCTTCTGACGAATTGAATTGGAAATAACAAGCTGCAGAGTGCCAATAAAGGCACATTTCTTTCACATTTTCTTCATAGGAAACCAGTGATTGTGATAAAAGGACACTGAGTTTCTATGCTTGGTTAGTCACACAGGTGAATGCAGTTAATAAATATTGAGTGAGCAGAGGCGCTCGARTTTGGCTTTGGAGTATGCTGATGTGTGTTAAAGTCTGAATTTCAAAATCTGAACAATTAAATGCCCAAATTGAGCTTGGTAGTTTGCTGGCATTGATACTAATATTTGCACAAAATAGTTATAATATTGAATATTGTTTTGTTACTAGCTTTTCCCTTTAAAGGACTACTAACTTTGTTGTATTTTGATATGCAAGGTAATATATTTGTTTTCTTTACATGCTTGCTATATTTTTATATCTTTTTAGCTGTTAATGCCAGCTTCTGCAGAAGTGCTGTGCATTTTGGGAGCTGGTGTTCAAGCATATAGCCATTATGAGATCTTCACAGAGCTGTTCACATTCAAGGAGGTAATGGACCCATCTTAAGAGAATATATTTTCCTCTATTATATTTCAAGGGCAGTTAATGTAGATAAAACATTGCTGTCAAACCTTTGGTCAAGGGATTAAACATATTTTGATTATGTTTCTAGAGAACTCAATATTCTGAACATCTGTAGATTATTCCCKTGCCACTTTATTTTTTTAAAAGCTGGAAGCATTCAAGTATCAGATGCTTTCCTCTTTGTATGAGGAAAGTCTGCTATGTATGCCATATTTGGATGAGCTTTCTTTGACTTTCTCTTAAATACATCTCTTGAAAATACTCACATTCTGTAAATACAGCCTTGTGAGGAGCTGTTAACCTGGCATTGCGAATAAGCATTCAACTATAGCTGTCAATGCAGTAACTTTAGTCACTTGATAATATTAAAGGAAAAATAACATTTTAGGGTAGATGTAATCATCTGCTGAAAATGGAAAGTCTGTTCTRTGTCAGTGAGTAGACTCTTCTAGGTTGTGATGTTTGGCCTTTCTCTTGAAGGTCAGAATATGGAACCGCACCAAGGAGAATGCTGTGAAGTTTGCCCGTTCGGTTAATGGTCCCGTGCAGGTCTGCTCTTCTGCTCAGGAGGCAGTTACTGGGGCTGATGTCATCGTAACGGTCACCACAGCAACAACACCAATTTTATTTGGAAAGTGGGTAAAACCAGGTGCCCATATCAATGGTATGCTATATTCTCGTCATGTAAAGGACTCCTTTTCACTGTTYAGCATCAAAAACTGTACAGTACTGTTTCTTGAAATGAATACTTATTTCCTTTTGACTATTTTCCTTTGGCAAGGACCTATTTTTCTAGCTCTGTTCTCTTGAGTGTGTAGAGTCACAATTCCTACACATTCCAGCACTGGGTGTTTTCTTGAGTATGAGATATGCTTGCCACCATGTGCTCTCTTGATATTCACTTTGCCCTCCATTTAAATAACATTCTCAAAGTGACTCTAGCTCATGATATTCTTTCCTTTGTAACTGTTGTCTTCCCTCATTTTTTAAGAATCTTTATTTGTKCCTCTGGCACAGATTTTTTTCTCAGTTTCTATAGCTTTTTATTTCAAGCAAGAATTTGTTCTTTAATTATTGCAAGTTTTTTGAGGCTCTTTTCTTTTTCTGCCCGATAATGATGTTGCTGCACTATTGTACAGAGTCCATGGACATGCTGCCATTTGTTTACTCTATTAATTTTGGGCCTGGTTCAGATGACCTTGTGTACTTTACAAATGGCTTCGTAACAAAACAAAAGTGGCTTGTCAAAGGCAACGATTTAAAGGAAGTTCCCACATTCCAGCAGCATCCTACCAATTTTTCAGACTCAATTTAGTCCTTTGTCATTTAACGTTGTTGTCTGTGTTATGTCATGGCATGGAAGCCAGAAATACAACCAAAATTAATTAAGGTCTACAGTCACTGAAGCAACACATACACAAAGACCCCTCTCCTTTCTCCCTCGCTGAGACATTCCTGCTGTTTGAAGAGGCATTTTGGCAGCGTGGAGTACKTCTATTCCATAAGTTACATTTCTTTTTTTTTTTTAAAAAAAGACTTGTGTAAAGAATAATGTCTTTATCAGCCCAGAAGTTATAGTGGTTTTGCTGTAGTATCAAAGTTTGGCTTAGAAGTGAAAATCTATAATGAATTCCACTTCTAAAGTATGTCATAAATGGAAAACGTAAGTGGGATGTGAAGTGTTCAGCACCTTACCAAAACAGGCCAGGTTTGGAGCAATACAGTATTTTTCCCTCTTCTTCAGACCTATTGTTAATTAGCATGTATCTGGTGCTAATGTCAGGATGTTTGAAGGTTAAGAGTTTCCAGTAATCTCTGTTGTTACTTCATGTGTCTTTTGGGCAAAGTATAGTTTGAAATTTTTTAAACTTTCTTCCTAAATACATAAATTTTATTGTCTTAGCTGTTGGAGCAAGCAGACCAGATTGGAGAGAACTGGATGATGAACTGATGAAGAACTGTGTTCTCTTTGTGGATTCCAGGGAAGCTGCTCTTACTGAATCAGGCGATGTTATATTATCAGGGGTAAGAGTGTGGGTTTCTTTTTTTTTCTATGGCCCTTCTTATGGTGATGGGCTTGTTTGTAATGAGCTGTTCTTGATGGTGTACTGCACCAAAACTTCAGAGCATCAATATAAATGTTAAGACACTTCAAACATACTTTAGCCTTTCCAAAAGGCTGAGGGACAAGTGTACTTTTTACCCTGGGCCTTCTATCACGCTAGGTACTTGGCAGTAGTTTCAGCCATTGCATAATGTGATGTCACACTAGCATGTGTTCAGCTTTGGCCTTTGTTTACAGTAACAAGTATTCTTTTGAATGATTGATGTTTGTAAGGACCGTATTTTGTAAAGTATGTGTAACTGTCAGATAAGTACCAGGTTATCATATTTTAAAAAAGCTTTTTTTCTGAAAACTGTGATCTATATCGAGGTTCTGTATTTATCTGAGTSTTCATCTCTTTCACCATGGGACCCATTAAATGATTTAAAAAAAAAAATGGAAAAGTTATTTTGTTTAAACTTTTTCCTTAATTACTTTTTTATCTACAGATTAATATTTTGTTTCTGTGTCAAAATATCCTTGTTCACAGGCAGAGATTTTTGCTGAACTGGGAGAGGTACTGAAGGGTACAAAACCAGCGCTGCCTGAGAAAACAACAGTGTTTAAATCACTGGGTAAGAACAGCCCCTCCTGCATGCAAGTCTGACAGAAAACAATGCCTTGTTATTTATTAAGTTCCCCATGCGTGGGAAAGCTGCTGATCATCTTGAAAACCGCTGTGGCAATGCACTCTTCAGAAGGAGCTGGAATGTGATTTGCATTTTCCCTTTTTATTTCTCAATCTAGTGGGACTGATCTAATGAAAAGTGATAGGAAAGCCAACAATGGGAAAAATGTTTTTTGTTTGAGCATTATTCAACATATGACTGCAATGTTGTATTTTATACTCATAACACCAATATGTAAGTCCTGCTGTTGTGAAGTCTGTCTGAGCTAAAGACAATGTSATGGCACATAGTGGTGTTGGAGCCCATGTTGTGTGTGATGGGTAGGAGGAAAGAAGGAACAATGATGGTTTACCATGCTCTGAGCTCAACAATGTGTCCAGAAGGGCCAAGTCAGAGTGTGAACACTGAAAACTAGGTTCATACAGGAGTACTGACTTCCATACAGGAGTGTTGACTTCATAGAGGACATATGACAGGTACATCGTGGCTCTAAAATTAGAACCTAACACTGTAGGTGTTCTGGAGGTGAAAGATTTGTCTAGTTAGATAATTCCCTGAATTGTTTTCTTCTGAATCTATATTTCATCCTCCTGAAGATGTTTCAAGATGACTTTATTTCTATTTCAGGGATGGCAATTGAAGATACAGTAGCAGCAAAATTTGTTTATGATTCATGGTCAGCTGGTAACTAGAGGAGTCTGCAGTGCCCACAAGACCACAGAATACCAAGAAAATGGCTTCCTCTTAGCTTTCTCTGRTTAATGATAAAGATGACAATCCTATCTGAATGTTGTCCTTCTAGAACTTTCAAAAATGAAGTGTAGGACTTCTAAAAAATGAAATGAATGAAGTGTAAGCCTTGAGCAGCTGAGTACTTCTACTCTTTTCTCATGACAAGTATTAGATCTTTGCAGTAATACTAACAAGTATTGTATGTGTTTGATACCATTCTGAAATCAGTACTTTTACTCCCTAACTGTATCTGAAACAGAAAACTGTGTGGGTTTTATGTTTGTAGAGGAGTTATTCATGCTCAAGTAAAATGCATTGTTTTGGAGACGAGACTTTTATGCTTGATGTGATATTACATGAAATAGTACTTTTAAAGAAAACTATGGTGTCAGTTTTACATGAAAAGTGATTTAGTCTGCAGGTTCTCCTGAGAAAAGTACCCACCCTGTGCTCCTGGAGACCCATCAGCCTTAGATCTGGACTTGGCTTCCATCCCCGCATTCTTCTTGCTCAGCTTTCAGACCCTGTAGTCCTTAATTTGAGAGCATGCTCCTGGGTGGGACTTTTGTATAAATAATGATGTCTCCATACAATTAGATTTGTCTACCCATTTTCATAAAGCACTTGAGTCAGGAAAGTTTAACAATACAAAAAACATGCAGTATTAATACTGATTTATGTTAACTGGGAGAGAAGACTCTATTCAATACCTTAATATATCTGTAGGTGGAGTGTTGCCGCTTTCTTGATTTAGGTAGTCATGCAAAGTGTGGATAGTAGGTGCATTTTGTTTTAGYTTTTGTGCATGTCCTGTGGAGAGTTTTTTTATCAATGTAAGGTATTTGTAAATTGTTTTCCAAGTTTTTTTAAGGTTGGACCATGTGCTGACTGCTAGCAAGGACATAAACCTAAAGTATAYAGGCAAGTAGGTTTATCTTGGCCAGATGGCAGTTACATTGCTATCTTGGTGAGTGGTGATGGGGCAGGATTCCCCATGATCCTCTCTTGGCAGAGGAGCCCAGTGATGTCCGACATATGAAAATGGAGCTTTTTCTTGCAGTTATACAACTGCTTTACAGAAGAGTGAGCATCTGCTGAAAAATAGCCATTGCCTTGGATGAATTCCTGTCTCAGGCTAGAGTTCTGCCTTAAACTTTATGCCCATGTATTGTTTCATGTTGACTGTTAAATATCTCTTCRCTTTATAAAAGGATTACACAATCATTTTATAACAGTGCCAGAGCACAGCAGAGCATCCAGCAGAAGGTTCAGAAGCAGATGGTGTTATGATGGTGCATAAGTAAGTACAGAGAAGGTTGAGTACAGTGCATGTATGACATAGTACTCCAAATGATAAGCCTAGTGTAAACTAGTTGAAAAAGTGAGTTAAATGGCAGAGTTTGTAATTTGCACAGTTTTAGCATGGAAATATTCTACATACATAAGTGAGTAGAGCCAAAGGATATAATATGTAGGTAAAGACTGCGAGCAACTCCATCAGCCTTGTTGGTATCAAGAAGTTGCTCTACCAGCTTCTGCATTTTTTGTAACAATTACCCCTCATTTTTTTAGCATGCCTATTTCCTGGGTCATTTATGAAATGATCAGTAATGTGCTTTTGATCTATCCTGGTACTTCAGTGACAGGGAACTCCAGTAACATGTGATGAATGTGACAGGCATAGAGGTTCCATAATTAAAGAGCTGTACAGAAACTTTCGGTTTTACAACTTTATCACAGTTCTGTGCCTGTGTGAAACTAGGTTTGCAGTTTGCAATAAGACACAGCACCTAAGAAGACGCATAGCTTTTTCACCTACAGACTAGGCACTTTGAAAGGAGTCAGTCCAAAGACCTGGTTCTGAAAACCCACTGTGTTCTTGGCCCTCCTTGGCGGCAGGAGGCTCTAGGAGCCTGGCTTCAGCCTTTAGCCTCTGAATGGCTTGAATTCATAAAGGACTGGATTTGTTTACAATGGGAGATGCATCGATTTTTGTCTTTCGATTTCTTGAGAAATTGTTGCCTTAGCTCTGTGATTCTCTTACTTTTTTGGAAGACTGTCTTTAATTTGTAACTTGCATGCAAGTTAAAATTAAATAGATATCACTGCTTTTCTGTCTTCCATTTTTGTGGTTTCTTCCACTGTTTCGCTTGGGGTTGTGGGGTTTGGTGGTAGCTCTTTAGCTTTTGTGGTGAAGAAAAACGTTTCATTTTCAGTTAGTCAACAAAGAGAAGAATCTGCATGGCTCTGATCTGCAGTGCATTTCCTTTTCAAGTCTATGGCTGTGATCATGGGGGATCCCAGAGATTTATGATTGGCTGGCTTTATAATGGCCAACTTCCAAGACCACACAGCCAGAAAAGGGCTATCACTCCAGCATTTTTTTCTCCTCTCAGCTTCAGAAGAGATAGACTGGAATCCCTGCAGGTGCCTAGAAGTATAATGGGAGATGCCCTGGGCCTTGCCATTTAGTCTCTAACYGCAACTCTAGGAGAGCAAAGGACTCCTCCAGGTTTGTACTGCCTCCAGAAAGTTACTGCATGTCTTTAAGGCCATAATAAAGCCTCCTAGATTTTTTTTTTCCTAGTGATAACTGCCTTGCTGCTCACTCAACACAGCAAAGTCTGTAAGGAGCCACTTTTCACTGTAATTTAGATATGTTGGCTTACCCCAGGGTATTATTTATGCATATGCCTTCAGCTCTAGCTCCACTCAGCTTCCATGCCAACAAGCAGTTGAGTTTTGAAAGTGTCTCCCTGGAAAATGGTTCTAATCCATCTCTGCCACCACCTGGTGCTGCCCTGTGCTCTGCCCCAGCACTGGAGGGGTTAGTGCTTAACCATGCAGCATCCTTCAAAGCCTCCAGTCTTATTTCTGCCGCATGGTAGAGTGAGGGGTCTACTGACCTTGGTTTATGGTAAGAGCTGTTATTTAAGGGGTCCAGCCCTTGGGGAAGGGTTGATGGGATATTCACATAAGCAAATAGAGGGGCTTTGGTGCCAGTCCCAATCCTGAATCATTTGCCTTGCAAAATAAGYGGCAGTTAGGCTCAGCAGGTACAGCAGCTGGGGTGAGGGAGATGATAGGTGCTGTTAAGCAAAGTGCACTGAGTATTTTTCAGTTGCATGAGCAAGAATGACAGGATTTGACTGTGCAAAATTAATAGGCTTTCAAATATGGAACATTCATGATTTCCCACTTGCCTTGTTAAGTACCTGGGAGCCCCTACATTAGGAGCAGYGGAAAAGGTTGACACACTGAGGTACAGGAGTCCGAGGATAAAAGAATCCAGAATAAAGTCCAGCCAAGAAAAAACAGTTACAATAAACAGATGAAAACAAAAGAAAGAAGACTTGGACAAGAGAAAGCATGAAAAATAGATTATTAACTGGAGCTTGTCTACATCAATGCACATACTCCTAAGGAAAAATACACCGTTAACTAATGGATCAGGGCTGTAGAGAGATTTTTCAAGAATACTTAAAGACATCAAAGATTTAAGCCCTGTTAATAAGTAATTGTGCACTAAAAGCTGAGCTCTTAGAACACAGTTGCTGCAGGGACGCGGGTGTGTTCGCGTTACTCAGTGCAAGTGAGTAATTCCGTTCAGATGGCGCCGGCCCCCGCGGGGAAGGGGCCCGGGCAGCCGAAGGGAGCCCAGCCACGCGCACCTCGCGGGGGCTGCAGCCAGCAGAAGCTCCCCGGGAAGCTGAACCTCGGCTTTTTTCTCCGCTTGCTTGCTCTTCGTGCAAGCTGCTCTACCTGCACCTCGTTACATGCGGTTTTTGGGTTATGGCTGGCAATGTGCAACATMAAATATGAGGTGCCTGGTTTGGGGGACTTCGTGTGACAAGTGTGCCCCAGAGGAAGCCAGCCAAAGCCAAAAAACAGATAAAAAATCTGACATTTTTCATTAAATTATTACAGTCTTGATTCTACTTAGCATATGATGGTTGATGGCAACTTACTGCTATTCTCTTGGTCTAATGAGATGAGAGAAAAGAATAAACAACTTGCATCAAACATCCGWTATTGGATACATTACTGACAAGAACATGGAAGTCGCTGTAAATTAGCTTTATTTACATTAATTCAGAGGCTACTAGAGTCAACAGATGACAGCCAAAATCCAGATCCAGATTCCATTTCTCCAGTGTCACTGAGAGCACAAAGGGCAATCTAACAGGAACTGTCYGAGAAATCCCAAAGCCGCCTTGCTGTGGGAATGCCCGTGGATTTGTGGCTTTGAACAGGGAAGGGCTTTGTTAAGGAATACAGCATGACTGGCCTTCACTAACTGCTGAAGTTACTTGAACCAAAACACATCCCATCCCCATGACAGGGAGAGAAAGACTTAAATATTTCTAATTTTTTTAACCTTCAAATTATTTCTTTTGGCAAAACGTGTTGCTTTTATAGCCTATGTACTGCAGTCATCTATCCAGACAGAAGCATTTTGGCTTAGCTGTCTGGGCTAAAGGAGCTGGCCATCTCTTTACCTTTTCCTTTAGCAGACATCTGAGAGCAACCACGTCTTATTGTGAAAGAGCAAAAGAGATTGAATCCGGGTGCAGGGTAGTGCCACAGAAATGTTTATTTATAAGCGAGTGTCTGTTGTTTTTCCGGGGTTCTTAAGTGCCTGTTTTCTCCTATCCACAGCATTCAGGACTTTCTTTCTTGGCCCCAGCTCTATTTGAATACTCTGTAAATCTTCATCCGAACACAACATCAAGGCATCCAAATCRATCTTTTCCCTCATGAAGATTGGAAGAAACTCATCCAACATCTGTGATGCCAGAAACACCTCCAAGGGTGTGTTCTCTCCTTCCTCCTCATCCCAGACAAGTTCCTCCTCATTCCAAGGAACATTAGCTTCATTTCCATCATCATCTTCCTTGCCATTCTCAGTGCTTTTGTGCTGAAAGAGCTCACTGGACATTTTGAAGTTTATACTCTCTTTCCCTGAAGATATGTCTTCTGGATTTATATCTGCAGCCAAATTTCTTCCAAATACAATCTTACCAAGACCTGGCCGCTTGAAAATAGAGAACTGACTGTCATTATCAGAAAAGTTTACCTCTCTAAAGTCATTCAGTAATTCATCCTCCTCTTTTTCATCAAATAAATGCATCACAGTCATTCTCTCCTTGCTCTCCCCTTGGCCATTGCTTTGTGTTCCCTCATTTCTGGCATTATCAGCTGCCTTTTTGGCTCTCAATCCGAAGGTATCTTTCAGGTTTTTGGRGAAAGAACTTGTATTTGAAGCAAAGAGACTAGCCACCTTTCCTCTGGAGTGTGTTCCTCTTGAAGAATTCACTGAGCCAAGCTTTTCTTTCATATAGCTCTGGTTCATTTCGTGCTGGTGTTTCTCCTGGAGCTTCTCGCATTCCTTGATTTGCTTCTCCGCGTTCCTGTGGGCCTGCGCTTTGAGTTTGGCCACTTTCTTTGGGTTCAGCAGGTTCTGCTCCGTGGCAGCTTTGTCCAGCAGGCTGACGCACTCGCTTCGGTCTCTGCTGGCAGCCGCCTCCAGAGGTGTGCGCAGGTCGTTGTCCAGAGCAAATATATTGGCGCCGAACTTGATCAGGAAGGAAACACAGTGGATGTGACCGTTGGAAGCAGCGTGGTGCAGGGGAGTGTTCCCCCAGATGTCGCATTTGTCCGGGTCRCCTCTGAGAAGGAGAAGAGCACACAGTGAGCTGGACATAACCAACACAAGACAACAGCTTAGCTCAGCTTTGCTGTGAGGAATACAACCCCAGTGCAAACGACCCGACTTAGCCCTGTTCTCTAGACCTGCGCTGCACCTACTTACCCTTGCTGAGTTAAGCAAGCTCTTGGGGGCCTGTGTGACTGCAGATACCCACGATGGAGTGGTGATGGTTCCTGCTGTGGTACCCAGCAACCAGCAACAACCCCCGGCACAAGTGGGATTGTAGCTCTGACCTCTCTATAACTAATTCTGCTGAAAGCAGGCTCAGGACTTGGCTTGTGCTGGAATTAATGGCCAAATTGTTTCAGTGGCTTTTGGCCAGAGTATTTTAAAAGTTATTAGTGACTTTTTTTTTCCTTTTACCTGTCRTATGTAGGAGGTTTCTTCACCGATCACAGTAATCCCTATTTAGTACRTCAACGGCAGTAACCTTTTTGATAGGAAATAGGTAGATGATTATGAGTTGGGTCCTAACAACCCATTTGTCTCCATTGCTGTTAGAATAAGCTCAGACTGAAGCCTCTGTTTTCTTTCAACTCTGTTGTTCCTCTTAAACTGCTTTTGCTCGTGGGTTTTTTGGAAAGCAGAAGCTCATTTGAAAATAAAATGCCATGTCTTTTCAGTTGAATTTAAACATTGAAATGTGCTGATTTCTTTTTAACTCTTGCATTCGTTTCACACCAAAATGCTGCCTGCAGATCTTTTCGCTCATATTTGGTAGGATCAGCATTAGCAGTGGTGCAGAACAGCACGTGAGTCTTCTCTGGCCAATAACCAAGGCACTCACAGTAATCTSGAATCCTTAAAAACTTCAGAGGTCAAATCTACAAAGAGAATTTCTTCTTTTAGAAATTTTAAAGATTTAAGCGTCTTGGGGGATTTGTTTCACGGCTGTTGTGTTATGGATGCAATGGTGCATTCTGTCACAGAGTTCCCTTCAGGTATCGACTTGGGGCTTTGCACATCACAGGGAGAAAAGCACTGACATATCCGAGGAGGGACAAAAGCGGGAACTTCCTTCAGACAGGCAGGAAGCAAGAGGGAGACCGTGGTCCGTGGGGTCGCAGACCCAGCTGCTTCCATGGAGAAAGAGCAGCAAGTCTGTGCACAGAGCACTGCAAGGAGGCGGCAGATGAGGATCTGCGGGTTTGACTTGGGCATATGGAAAACATGTGTGCCTGTTTGTGATCTCTGCCTGGGGAGCTGCCTGACCACAGCAGAACATGCCCGGGATGCCAGATCCCCCAACTYGGTCCCTGCACAACCGCTTGCGGCTTCTCTTTCCCTGTGCAGCCTTTAGCTCTCAAACAATTCACAAACCAGAGAGCTGGTTCCCTACTCAGCAGGACTTTGGGTAACTCTSGCATCTGCTTTGGGTCCTCACACTCCTCTCTCCTTTTCTAGACAGGAGGAAGGGGGTCCAACAAAAGCGAGTAGATCCGCTGCCTGGTCCTTCCTCTGGTTGGGATCCTGCACAGCAGGCAGGGAGAACATCCACCTCCTAACGCCCGGAAGGACAAATTGTTTGAGGATGAAGGGGTTGTTGCTAGTATTACCACATTTTCCAGGGGCCAAATGTGTTGCAGGCTTCGGAGTCCCAAAATCTGCAACTGCTCAAGAAAAAAAAATAGCAAAAGCCCATCCTGTATCTGAGTGCTTTGTCAGAAAAGCCCTGAAACCATCTTGCTTCAGAGAAATGCGGAAGTTGTTTAAAATAATTAAAGTATTTTCTCACAAGGCACCAAGGCAAGCCTGTAGAATAGGGGAAATCTGCAACAGTTCTGCCTCTTTCCAGACCACGCAGGGACAAGCAAGACCCTGGGGATATTGCTGTCTGCCTCAGTGTATGGATTGTGTCAAGGAATCTAGGAATAAAATAGAGGTGAATTTTGAAGATTTTGGAGGCAATACTATCCCAAAGTTGTGCTATGCCAAGAAAAGTAGAGTCAGAAACACACTGACTAGGAAATATGTAGAAATTTTGATCTTTGTGTTATCTGCTGTGCTGTTACCAATGTATATGGTAGAATATATATTTTTCACTCCAATTCTGGAAAAGACTATTCTGTTATTGTTTCCTTAGTCATAGTTCTGTGTTGTATGCRTTCACAGACAAACCTGTATTGACTCTATCTGTTTCCTTGGTGCTGTATTAAACAAGTTGAAAACCTATGTGTCTATTTTTTGCTCCTTTGAGGACGCTGCACTAACCATACCGTCCAAAGGTCTCTTTTATTGTGTTATTACAACCACACCTGAGCTCGATGAGCTATAAAGCAAATCTATGACAACCCTATTTGTAGTCTGTATATCCAATTCCTTTTTTCAAGAAAAGAAAAATGAAATACACCCAAATAGCTATTCAGCTTTTTTTTCTGCCAGTCTTCTTTGAGGTACTACAAATGAAAACACAGGTCAATTTGATCTTCCTCTCAATGCAGAAAAAGCCACTTTCTTCACTATATCTCTGCACATGAAAAGCATGTCTTTTATCAGATCTTCTTGCAGAACCACAGATTAAAAGGCAGGCTCCAAAGCAKAGAGTACAGAGGATGAAATGGGCAGCTAGTGGCCTTTTCAGTAATATATTTTAAGTATGCAGTATATTTGAATGATTACAATAAGAAATATTACTGCTAGTAAATACACCTGTAGAAAACCTTTTTTAAACAATTTTTCCTTTTCTCATTTTGCAAACATCCTTCCTACTTAAGGTCTGAAAGCAGTATCATGAATCTTTTAGTGTGATGGTTGCTAATATTATAAAGAGCAGAGAAATACCAATTTTTGGTATCGCCAGTTCAAAACTACCAGCTCTGACATAGAAAAGCATTAGCTCTTCACAGGTACTGACTGCTCTTTGGGAGTAAAAGACAGAGCTTTCTAAATCAAAGTATTTCAAACAAGCCTATAAAGCTCATTTCAGAGATATGTCAAAGGACAGAAATCAACCTCTACAGCAGATGAACAGCAGGGTTTTTTATTTTGATTTGACCTTCCTTTGACCTTGCTAAAGCAAGATCCCAGTGCTACCCACTGCTCTCTGCAGACTCCATGTCCCTGCCGGTTCCATGGCTGTTGATGAGCTGCACTGACCATTTTTGACAGCAAGTAGAAAAAAATTACCAGGATTTTTGGCCTTTTGGGATATCTCAGCTGCATTAGAGACACTACTCATTATTTATAGCTTCGTGCCACAAGGTCTAGGTCTAATACTCTGGGCCTGATTCACTTACCCCCTCCGACAGGTGACTTCCAGCGCTTCCAGGTAGCCGTGGTATGCTGCCAGCAGGGTGGGCGTCATCCCATCCTCATTCGGAGTATTGAGATCCTTTTTCGTGGCTTCTTTGAGGAGCTCCAAGTTGCCATCAGCTGCTGCTTTGTGATACCTGGTGGACATTTTCTGTGGCTCTGAAGAGCAGCCAGACTGCAGAGCCACTCTTGCTCCACGGACAGTTAATCAATAGTCACAAGTGGCAACGTCACCTCCAGGATGGAAATGAGGAGGCAAAGTACATCACACACATAGCGAGGCCACAGGACCTTGAACACTTTYATTTTCCCTGTCTTACCCACTCACTGCGGAGTCATCCATGCAACTCTGACAGGGCTCAGGTGTCCTTTGTGTCTCCTAGGTCTTCTTGTGGCCTCCTGTGCTGAGCTCTTTTGGGACAACTGGCTTGAAAAGGAGATTTGCCACTGATGTCAGCATGACCAGATTCCACCCTCACTAATAAAATATCTTTGTTTTTTGATAGGTTTGTTATCTCCATTATTGATATAAGTGGGAAGATCTGAAGGATGTTTGCAAGGTGGCACAGGCAGTTCAAGGAGCAGAAACCCGTGGTGCCCACACCCCTCCCTGACCTCCCTGCACCCCTCACCCGCGGACAGRCCTCTCCGCACATCCCTGCTCTGCCTTTAGAGGCCCTTCCCACTGATTTCATGGCAATGGTTTCTGTGAGTAAGGGCTGCATCTCTAGGTACAGGCTTACAGAATCAGAATGTAATTCTGATTTTGAGATTCGAACGAATAACTAAGCAAAAACTAAGAAAAACAGTAGTTTTCAAACAGTAGTTGAGGAGAAATCAGTAGATTATAAATAACCTAATAAAACACAGGAAGCCCTGCGACTCTGTTCACATTCACAACAGCAACCAGTTAAATGTTCCTTTTTGTCAAGCTGTTCTCTACAAATTCTAGCCAAATCAACCTGCCTCTTAGGGAACKCACTCTCAGCAATTAGCAGGGAGAGTTTGCTGCCTATTATGTCCCCTTTGAGAGCGGCGGGAGGGAAGTCATTGTCCGGGGCTGCTGCAATTACCGAAGAGACCGCAACCTCATTTAATTCCCACAGAGCTGTCCGTGCAATTCATGGGCCGTCTCTCCAGACAGCCTTTCTCTCTTAATTATTTTTTCAGAGAGAGATTGAAGAGCTCTTCAAGAACAAGCTTTTACCTACGTTTTCCTTCAGGAAGACAAGGAGAATCTAGTCATGTCCCTGGACAGTTTTTAATCTTCATATGAACAAGCCTGCTTAGAAGTAACCCAAAGCCCTGCTTAAGGGCATGTAGTCTTCAGTAGCACATAGACCGTGCTTCACCCTGGCCAACCTCCATCCCAGCATCAGGAAGCAGTTTTGCCTTCAACCCTTTCTTCAAGTTCCGTACCAATACTTTCCTAACCACAAATGCAAGGCTATTTACTCCATTTTCTGTTTAACCAGGCACACTGTTGGGTTAAATTTACAGCTACCAGGGGGAAAAAAAAAGGCAGGACAAAGACATACTTTGTTATAAATATATTAGCTTRGCTGTTGCTTGATGCCACTGAAATTTATTTCTTCTGTTGGGTATTGCAAGGTCTTTGTCTTTTGTGAGTGGACCACCGAGGCAGGCCCTGCACAGACCACCAGCGCTTGGTATGAGAGAGAAGACTTCTTTTTTCCCCGTATATYTGAATTTCACACAGTTTGCCATAGCATGGCTGGGAACTCATGACAGGAGAGAATTTTCTATTCTCTTTTTTTCAGGATTGTTGTTTTATAGTGTAGGAGTATATTCATTAGCTTTTCTGGTAATCAAATCAGCATGCCAAACAGTGATCTGAGAGTACTTTTTGTCATGCAACTTGTAAAAATGTTGATTTTTGTAGAAGTTACTTTATCTAACATTAAGTGGATTTTTATTTGCTGCAAGTTTTAACTAGAGATAAAGCAAAACCCACTTCAATTGGAGAGACACTCCAGGACTTCACAATTTTTGTTGTTATTCACACCATAAAAGGGCCACCACAAATAAAGAAAGAAAAGAACAAACAAAATCTCCACCTACTCCTTAAATCCTGATATTTGTGACAACCTAACACTTCAGCTTAGGTGATTCTTTGTCCCACCTAGTGCTTCAACTTTACTGCAATTGATGCAAGTGATGTTAAATATCTCAGTGYGAGAGAGTTAAATTTCTCAGGCTGAGTGGAGATTTTTCTTTTGAGAATGGGGCTCAAAATTGCAGACTTTTTAAACTCCCTGCTTAGTTAAAATGAAGCTTTTCTTTGGGGGTTTGAAAAGAACTTCACAACCATTTTACTCGTAATTGAAATGTCTTACCAGGCTTGGAGAAGCTCTCTTGCGACGGTACATGTTGTTGTAAACTAATGAATTATTTAAAAAGCAGTTTTTATTTGTTATTGGATTTTGCTATGTCTAYGAGTATTTCTTTATTTTTTAACAACTGTCTGAAATACAATAACAGCAGCTAAAGAAACTATCTAGGCTTTATTCAAGCTCATTTGCAGACTACCATTGGTTGTGTTGCTCCAGATAATGAACCACTCACTATGTTGCTCCAGATACTTCAGAGCCTGGTCTTACCTCACACCTTGGGAGAAACCCAGTGATGTTGTCATGCCATCCATTTTCATGAGGTTATTATCTAGCACAATGTTTCTTCATCACAACTTTTCTAAGCAGCCCATGCAGGATGGCAATGGCCAGACAAGGGAGGTCTCAGCTCGTCTAATGGGATCCCATGGGGACTAATGGGTTTAGGAAAGAAAGAAACGAGACATGTGAGATATTTGTGGATACTCARTCCAGAGATGATGACAACAGTTAAACAACATAATGAATAAAGAAAAAAAAATCATAAATCTGAGTTTCCTTTTTGCCAGGCCTCTTCTCCAAGCTTTGGGTGCTGACATTCTAGCCTGTGCTGGCTCAGACAGCCTCCAGTCTGGAGATCTGATTGAGCCTTCATTCTCTTCCTCACTCCGTCAGTCATATTTCCCTCMTAATTAAAACTGTATCAGCACTGCAGATCTGCCAACACAGGAAAAAAAATAATCTCAATCTCATACAAAYCCATTAATGGAACTATGGTAAATCATCAGAATATCATAAAGTAGAGAAATCTCTTTTTTATTTTTTTTAACTAAATTTCTAAATGTCTGTTTTCCTGTGCAACATCTGCTAAGGGAACAAATGGAGGCTACTGTCAGAGAAAAGTCTAATCAGCAATCACTGTCAGACTAGCACCACCCGAAGGTCTCCTCCAAGCCTTCCCTTCATGGCCAGGGATTGCAGCTTAATGAGAAGCAGCTGTGAACCTTCCACCCCTCAGCAGCAGAGAGGCTGCAGCTGTGTGGGGCCTGACCAGGACCTATATATCCCCTTCCAGGCCCACTGTGTGTGAGCTTGGTGGTGGCAGTGGGGAGGATGTGGCTGGTCTGGGAGCAGCACTGCCCAGGCACCTCCAGGATGTGGTGAGTGGAGTTGCTGTTGGGCCCCTAGCTCCTTTCCTCCCTGCTTGCTCATTTGGTTCCYTTTTCTTTGCAGGCTGCTGCTCCTGTTTGGATTTTTGCTGCCCYTAGCCACTTGTGCTGGTGGCTTAGGGGATCAGGACTTCTTGGGTAATGAGACCTCTCTGGGCTGATAKGGGTTGAGGTGGAGGTTTGAGGGACCCTTGTGGCCCCTCTGTTGTGGGCATGGAGAAGGGATGGCTCCCTGGGGGGCTGGCAGGAKGTGCGATGGCAAAGTTGACTGGTCTTCCTTCTGCAGAGAGTGTGACTTGTCAMAGGGACAGGATGGAGGTTGAGTTTTCCAGAGAGCTGGGCAACTACTCCTGGCAAGGGTCTGTAGTAGGTATGTGCTGGCCTGATGTAGTCTCCCTGAGCTGTAGCCTGCTGGTAGCTGTTACCTGTCTGCAGTGCTAATGACTTTTCTCTCTCTAGATGCAAGTGATGAGGCAATAACATCCTGTGACTACTTTGTGGACTATGAGGAGCTGTTGCTCAGTGCCTACTTTGTGAATTGCACTAGCCTTGAGGTAAAGTTAAGAACTGTTAGTTTATAACCTATGCATATCTTGGGGAGATGGAAAAGCTTCAGGAGTCACATAGTGGTATTTTAATGTTACCTTTGCATACCTCTGATATTAGTTATTRGCTCAGTTCCTGAGAAAGCAGTAATTAGGCAAATCCAAACTACACTTCTCAAAGCAGAGTCTTTACGGGCATCCATTGCTTCTAAGCTGTATAGAAAGTGCCCTTAAACTCTGGATTTTGGCCTTTCTTGTGAAGGAACAAGAACAACAGCCAGTTCCCTGGCTCATCAGTTGGGCAGTCCTTAATGATTTCCCTGAAAGTCCTACAGTGCTCTCAGTACTTTCTATTCCTCAGYCTAAGCTGTGGCTCCATGCTTTCCTAGGAGATCCCTTTTTTCTCACAAAGGTTTTCTTTTGCCCTTGCATTCRGGGTGAGTAACTAATTCTGCTCTGAAGTTCAATTTCAAAGGCTTTGTTCTCATGCTGCAATACAAGTTCTGCCTCTTTCTGATATCTTCTGTTGCCTATAGCATGGCCAGCACCAGCTGAGACTGAAGCTGATTGTGAATGACACAACAGGAGGGGAGAGGAACATCACCTCCATTGCTCGCTGCAGTGTTGTTCATGCCAATGAAGTCATCCCTCCTTTCTTTACTGGTGCAACAAACTGTACAAAGGACTTCATGGCAGTAAGTGGGGAAAATGCTGTAGGTGATGCTGTTTCCCAGAACCATGACTGGGATCTACAGAAAGCTGGAGGGGGAAAAAAGGTCCCTGGCCAGCATCAGGGAGGTCTGTTGGCTGCAAATCTGTCTTGGCATGTCCCTTAGCTCTTTGAAGAGCTAGTTTGCAGATCACCATTAGTGATGCACATGGTCTGGCTTCAGCTCCTGTTGTGGGGAAAACTGGGATGGTGTTGTCTGCCTCTTTGTTGGCAGCAATACTGCTTTGGAAAGTTAAAGCAAGGACTTCAGTTAAAAGGTRGAAATGCTTGTGGTCTGTTACTGTGGTCTGACCCTGTGCTCTATTTCAGGTTACTTTCCCAAGACTCATTCCAAGCTTCAGTGATGAACATGTGGTATGTGCTTTCTGACTTCCCATAGCTGGAGACTGGAGCTCCAAGGCCTGAAATCTCTAGGCTGGAGCAGTCCCTCTTCTGGGATATCAACCCCTCTTTGTTGGGAAGCCTAGTTCCCTGTTATCCTTAAATGGATCTTGAATGTAAAATTGGTGGCATCCCTGAAGAGTGAAGAACTACATAATGTCTCGTGCTTTCTGATGACAAGCCTTTTCCTTTGCAGGTTCCAGTAACTCCAATGACTTGGACTCTGTCCATTGATGATGGAATCAAGATTCATCAGCTGAGTCTTGGACAAGCCATGCAGCAAGGCTATAGCTTTCTAGCTGATGGACACAACTTAGTCTTTCAAGTGGCCTTTGGTGCAACTGGAGTTGTATCCTACAAGGTAAGGACATGCAGGGCAGACAGTGCTGCYTCCTCAGAGTCCAGATGTTGCTTTCATACAGGCCTGGGGGAAGAACTTAGATACTAGTTCTACCCATAGTATGCATCTGATTCATTGCCTTACCTAGCTAGTGCATGCAAAGCTGTATCAGTTTGTGCAGTTGTCATTAGACAACCTAACATTATAAAATGGAGAAAGATCAGTATGCATTTTGGTAGTGCTGCTGGTTGGTTTTACTCCAGAAGAACATCTCCTGTCCTACAAGGAACTGACCTGCAATCTCATGAGCAGATCTGTCCTAAAAGGATGTTGAGTTGAGAGGAAAATTACTGCTGCAACCTTCAACAGCACTAGCCACATTTATAATGTAGCTCTGGTATTGYTCTTGTGATGGATTCTAAGATGCATTATGCACCCTTAAAGGATTTCCACCTATTTCTGCAGCAAAATGGCCAGGTACTTTATACTGTAGCACTCAAGCTCACATATGGACCTCCTGAACGAAGACTGACAGTGGAGTCGAGAATGCTTTGTGCACCAGGTAATGTGTGGAAGAGTGACCTATTTATCATCTGGAGGTAGTGATGCAATATAACAAAGGTGTTGTTGCAGGTCCAGCAGTCTGTAATGCAACACACATGACTGTTACCATCCCAGCCTTCCCAGGGACTCTTATGGCTGTGGGTATAGAGGATAGGACCATTCCTATTGACCAGCTCCAGGAAAATGGTATTGCTGTGGACACAAAGAGAGGAATCAGAATGGACATTATTAGAGGAGTCCTGAAGTCCAGGGTGAGTTCATATGGGTTCATGTAGTCTTAAAGCCAAGAGTTTTCTTGGTATGGCCAATCCTGGTACTTGCTAGAAGCTAGTTTTGAGTTTGATCAAATTGCTATCGGGGAACCACATTCCTGAAGGGACTTGTGATCAAGATGTAAGCTGATTTTAGCACATAAACATCACTTAGAGGTAACTAGAGCCTCATGCTTCTTAGCATGAATAACTGAAGGTAAAAATGTTTATCTTGAAATGTGCTGGTATTTTATATGTTGAGAGCCATAGGGAAGTAACCTCATTAGTAGAATGTGAGGCTGTCTTAACCTGTGGCTTCTAGCACATGTGCAGCAGAGATCTTGCAGCTCAAAGAGTAACTCTTTCAGCTACAYGGAGAGAGCTGCTCAGGACTCCAGGCCTACATGTCCTCTCTGAAACTGGCTTTTCACTTCCATGGGGAGACTGTGGCAATGGTGATGCACCCGGAGTGCCCTTGTGACCAGCGCACACCAATAGGTAGGTAACTAAACTACAGGAAATGCTACAATATGTAACTTGTTCTTGGATTAGTTGTTCAATAGCCTTTCTAGGTTATCTAGCCAGCCAGAGTGAATAACTCTGGGAATAGCTGGGTGCCCCAGACGGGATGTCATGTCTCATGTAAACCTCTCTTCCAGCTGCTGTGTGCACTCAGGATGGGTACATGGATTTTGAAGTTCTTGCTGACAGTACCAAACCACCATTAAACTTGGATACACTTAGGCTCAGAGATCCTTCATGCAAGCCAGTGTTTAAGTCATCCCTGAATGATAGGGTTTGGTTTCATGTCCCACTGAATGGATGTGGGACCAGGTATTGGGTAAGTGCTTAGGCAAGGTTGCTGGGGAGGGGTCCATGAACTGGGGATGCACTTCCTAATGCTGTTTATCTTCCCTATCAGTTTGATGGGGAGAGAATCATCTATGAGAATGAGGTGAGGGCACTCTGGGCAGACCTTCCACTGCGCAGGATCTCAAGGGACAGTGAACTAAGGTGTGTCTAAACTTGCACAGGACTAGATACTATCCAAGGAGTTCTGTATATCTGGATGTGAGACCTATCTGCTCCTTTCTTGTTCTAGGCTAACAGTACTGTGCTCCTTCAGCAATGGTGATGCTTCTCTGACTATCAAGGTAGACAGTCTTCCTTCTTTAGCTGCTTCAATGAACCAAGGTCCTCTCTCCTTAGTTCTTCTGAGCTATCCAGGTAAGATGGCCTCTGGATTGGGTGTCTGGGGAGTAATGGAAGCTTGTAGTGAAGAGGAGGGTTCATATGTRATGCACTGTCTTGGTGCATAGGGTGTGTATGTGTGTGCATATGTGTGTGGTTTTTTTAAGGGTTTGATATTTTGGTGAGGCTGATGTGCYTCTAATTGAGGAAGAAGTCTTTACCTAGTGCTATTGCATTGTTTCTTGGGATGAACTGCAGCTGATGAGCTGACTCCTCTGAAGAGACTTTTGGTCGTAGAGTTCAAGGAACTTGTTGCATGCTGGTTTACCTAATGTGGCTTTGGCTCTTCCAGAGGACTCATACAGACATCCCTACCGTGATGACCAATATCCAATAGTCAGGTACCTGCGGCAGCCCATCTTCTTGGAAGTCCAAGTTCTGAACCGCAATGATCCTAACCTTCAGCTGGTGTTGGATGACTGTTGGGCAACAGCATCAAAAGAACCAAACTCTCTTCCTCAGTGGAATATTGTTGTGGATGGGTGAGTAATCTGCTAGATGGGTGTGAATGAAATTCACTATTGGCAGTAGTGAGTGGGAGTGTATCCCTAGCTGTTCCTTTCTCTACTCTTTAGGAGCAGCCCTGAGGAACAGRGGTTTTAGCTAGGGGCTGTCTTCTAGTCACTTCATAGATGCTGCCCTACTGTTTTGGAACTTGCAGGAGAATGGCAGGAGCTCTGCCTTGAACTTTGCCCTTTTGGGAACCTCTGCCCAGCCCCTCTGACTTCCTCTACTTCTCTGCTAGGTGTGAGTATGAACTGGATAGCTACAAGACTGTGTTTCATCCTGTGGGGCATGGCGTCAGTTACGCAAACTATCGCCAGAGACTGGAAGTGAAGACCTTCGCCTTTATGTCTGGTGATAAAGCCCTCCCTGGTCTAGTAGGTTACACTTATTTCTATTTAGAGCAGTAAGTCTGAGTAGTTATTGTATCCAAAAGCATGTGACTTGCTCTGTTCTAGGTGTATTTTCACTGCAGTGTCCTGATCTGTAACCGCTTTCAACCAGACTCCCCTCTATGCTCAACAAGATGCCCCAAGCCATCTAGGAGCAAGCGAGGTAATGTCCCAGCAGGTATTTGTGGTGGGGGAAGGAAGAGGAGGAAAAATGGGGAGAYAGGGAAAATGAGCTGCCCCAAGGTACTTGCCTCTTCCACATTTTCCACACTACTATTGCAGAGAGTGGGAAGCCAGCCATGAACTCTGTGGTGAGCTTACAGGGTCCTATCCTCCTTGTGCCAGAAGGATGGTCTGCAGAGCAAGGTACTAAAACTGGGCGGCTGATGCCAGTTGCTTAGCTTAAGGGCAGGAACTCCTCACTGAACCTGCCTTTCTGCTTGCTTTGCAGGGAGCACTCTCCTTGGCCAGGAGGTTTGGGCCAATGTGACACTGACTGTTGTCTGCATTCTCTCTCTGATAGCCATAGTGCTACTCTTTTTGGCTTTCCTTAAATGCCTAAAGAGGAGGGCATCTATGATGCATGTGGTATATTAATGTACTTTTTWATGAATAAACTCATTATAAATGACTGAGGAATGTGGCTGGAGAATTGCTTGTAGCTGTATGGTGTTCAAGGCTGTTTACCACAGATCTTGGTGCCTCATGGGGTTTTGGTCACCTGAGACTAAAGTCTCAGCTGAGGCCCTAAAGCCTTACTTGGGTCTTAGGCCTCTAAATGTACAGTTGCAAAGGTTTTGTTGTGATAACTTCTGGATCTCTTATTTTGAAATCTCATTGCCATATTGCATTTCTGATAACTGTCCAAAAAAGTTGTAGAATTCAAGTGYAGAGTAGAGATGAATGCTGCTTTTGCACTAACTCAGGGTCACCTGGAGGCTGTTACACCATGTTGCTTTCATAGATAACATCTGACCTCTAGATTCAAGTCCCTGAACCAGGACTGCTGAAAAAGTGAGGAGGTACTAGCTGTACACTCAAACACACAGGGAGGCTGGTGTCTTCTGGCTATGCCTGGTAAGTGCTAGCACAGCTGGTGTGTAGCACCTTTACTTTCCTCAGGCCAGGTACAAGCATCTCCATGTTATTAAAACAAAAAGTGTGTTTTCACAATAGGAAATAAGGGATGTATTTTCAAGGAAACAAAKGAGATAGTAACCCTGTAAGAGTGGGTTATATTGATTTGCTAAATGCAGGCTAGTTTTTTAATGAGGAAAGTCAGTAGGCTCCTACACTGAAATTATTGCTGCYTCAACTTTTGGAAGGTATTTGGGTATGGCCTTTGTAGAAGCAGATCTAGAAAACTCTTATTTGAGGCTAAARTAATAACAATGAGACAACCTGATTAAACAAAAAACACTTTAATAAGCTGGGTACTTAATGCTTGAAAAAAATTTAAACAAAGTACATACAAGAAGCTAAACTGAATACAAGATARGTCTTTTAAAATATCCAAACTACTCTGCCAMAATGCAAGATCTAACTGCCCACCATGGATGGGGATGAGGCAATGAAGAAAATATCCCTTCAGAAAAAGGCACTGTACAAAAAGTATGTAGAAGGTCGTCATGAGTTACATATAACAAAATCCACTTCTTCTGGTATTACAAGGAATTATTGTGGCATATTTACTGCTTTAACAGAACATTAAGGCCTAGGACTACTTTTCAACATTCAAAAGAGACCTGTTCTGTGTTGGTGAGCTTTGACTATTACCATGTACTAAAAAAGTTCAGTGCTGCATACAAATCTTGAAAGATYATCTAAATAGTCAGTAAATGGATTTTGTTATTGACTTGCTATCAGTATATTTCTTTTACCAAATTCTGTGGAACATTTTGCCATAGGCATAGACTTGATATCACAATGCACTGTTTAAGGGTTATTGTTACTCTTACAGTAACAAGAAGCATATTGATTTTCTTCAGTTTTTATAAGCAGTGCACAGAGCTTGAATGCTCAATGAGTAAACAATTACACTGTAAAGGTCAGAAGGGTGATGTTAAGTGCCCATCAAAGAAAAGGGGAGAATTTCCCTTATTCACTCTTTCCATTATTGGCAGAGAGATCCARAATAGAAGGACTCTTGTGCAATGAAGTTCCCAATGCCTCCTGCTTCTTTACCTGACTCCTGTATTTAAAAAAAAAAAAAAAAGAGAGAAAAGAAACTGGTTTTATAAGCTGTTTCTCTGCAGAGTTATCTTATGTGATGTCACTCGGTGTTCTTTGGGATGAATTAAAAGTTAGGGATTTGTGGAACTGCTGGTCTACCAGAGCTTCTCTCAAGACAAAGGAACATAAATCTATTAAATCTTGTTCATTTAACATCAATTTTAAGCAAATGTAACWGCTTTGTAGGCTGGATTGTATATTATATGAAAGAAGTCTGGTATGAGTTGCCRATAACACAGGTGGCAGCAGCACTACCACCAGAAAGAGGTGCAGGGAACACTGAAAGAGATGCAAATACAACATGGTAAAGGCTGAGTGTCTCTTCCTGAAGATATCATGGTCTCTACAGGCACTTTAGACTCCCTTGAACTATGCGAAAGCACTGCTGTCAAGAAGGATCAGTCCTGGAAAAATGTGAGTACTAAGAGCAGGTAGACTGTGGGGCATGTGGGTTTGTTCGTTCTTGGTGGKGTTGGTTGGTTGGTTGTTTTTTAAATCTTGTTCTTCCCTCTACCCCAATGATTACAGTTCTCAACTCTCCCACTAGTAGTCTGAGTGGGCAGTAGGTGGCACTCCAGCMCAGCCTGCTGGGGCCTGAGTTCTGTTCTTGGCAAAGGCAACAGTGACTGGAAGGGGCCTCTAAGCCTSAAGTCCTGGGAGCAGAGAGAGAGGAGTAGTAAACAGCAACTAGTCAGCAGCCTGTTTTCCAAATGAAGCAAGCTTATGCAAAGCAAGCAAGAAAATCTTTTAAAACATAGCTGATAGCTGGAAAGACATGTTAGATTTTGTCTGAACTTGTTTTCCAAAACCTGATTTTTGCCATGGTGTCTCTCAACTACCAATTTACTTATTCTAAAGCTTTAGTTTAGGTCCCCTGCCACTTTCCAAATGCATGTAAGCCAGGATAGTTAGGTACTGCATCACACACAAGGAACTTCAGCGCATAATTTTAATGTCTTTAATATCTGGTCATTTTATTTCTATGTTAGAAATTGTATATTGTAATAATACATAATGATGCTCTAGCATTAAACTTAAGCTATCTCTAAAGTAGTTGTCACTRGTGAACAGTGATTGCTATAACAGTGCAGTTACAGTTTGGAATCATAGAACGGATTAAGATGTTATGACTTACTTCTGAGCATACCAGTAGTTGATCAGGGTTGAAAGAATGACATAACAAGCACTCAGTACTCCAGAAACTCCCAGTGACAGTGCTCCCAGCCCACACAGCACACACAGGAGGGCTATGCCACCTATTGATATTACAACACCTAGTAAGAGAAAATCAGCTTTGTTATTTAGACAGCTTACATACATGTCTGTTAGAAGGATATAGTTTCCTGTATTCAAGCTATTAGGAAAAAGTAACTATTTCAGTCAACTAGCTGACCTGTGTAATTGTCAAGGGCCTCAGTCTGTAGGAAATCCCCAGACAGCACTTAAAAGGAGAAATGATCCTTTTAACACTTTCATTATTTATGTTTTGGGAAAGGAAGCTCTGTCTGAACTAGACCAGTATGTTTTCTTAAACTCCACATGTTACAATACTAAAGGTCTAAAGAGAAGATAGCTACAGCTATCAGAGAAAATACCTCATATTTTCTAAGTAAATCATGTTAAAGCCTTACTACTTCTCTGCCACATAGCCCTCGGAGGTWGAGAAATGGTCAGAGTTGACTTTGCCAGGGCTATAGAGAATATTTGCAAGCAATTGTACTTTGGAATATTTTAATAGCTGACATATTTCATGTAATAATGTAAGAAATTTGTAAGGAATTTCCCATTAAAAAATACTCCACAGGACAGAAATGAAAGCTATGCATGGTTAAAATAACTGATTTAGCTTTATCTAGGTGGCTGATATTAAAGAGAGAAATAGGATTTCCCCTGACTGRGTCACAGTTAATTAGATTACTAGTCTTGTGTTAAGACTCTGACTATTGTTGGAAGCTGATGACTACAATTAACATATTACTAGTTTGCTAAAGACCCTACAAGGAGAGAAAAAAAGAAAAAGGAAAGGATGTCATGCTCTAAAAGAAAAATAAATAATGCATGCATACATTACCTTCCATAATTATCACACCAATACAGGCCATTATGGCTGTTGAAACAACAAAAATCAGAAAAAATGCAATAGGAATAGCAGACACTGCAACAAACATCAGGAGTGATAAGGCAACAAATGGATGGTCATCTAAGTATTGGCCAAAACGAGAGTTCATAAATGCAACAACCTGTTGAAAGAAAAAATATTTTACATTTTATTTTTATCTCTTGTCATAGATAACTCTAAAATCTCAGCTACTTCATTGAAAAGTATAAATACTCTTCTTTCCCTTTAATTAAAACTCTATACTTATGGAAGTAACYATTGCCTCTAAATTTCCCAAGTCTAAGGAGTTATTACAAAGGTAGGTAACTGTGTAGCAAATAAAAATCCTACCTAAATATCCATGTTTATCATCAATCTCCCAGCCCTRTTCTTGCATAAATAACCCTTTGTTTAACTATATAGATTTTAATGAGCTTTCAACAGCTGTTATTTTTGTTCTACAGAACTGCATTTAGAGAACAAAAAATACTGTTACATTTTTAAAAAAAGATGACCTTGTTCTCATGTCTTGCTAGTACCTGCAACCTGCTCCTGTATTGAGTGTAAAGATGCTATAGTCATGGCTGTACCATAGGACATGGTAAGAATTTAACTATAATTTTACAAATAGATGAGAATATCCTTTCTCTAGAGGCAATCATAGTTCTGCTTCTTAAGGGSAGGATTTCCCTTAGGAAAGGGGTTGTAGTTATTTTTATAATAGAGCAGCCATTTCACTAAAATGCCACTGTATTTACCAGTAAAGCCATGTATTTCACTGTAAGCCATCTATTTACCAGTAAAACACAGAAATAGAATTCTATCTTTAACAATTCAGAGGGAGATTTCTTCTCTATCTCAAAATGTTTTGAAATTGTATTTAAACAAATGGGGGTATGATATTTTAAGAGCTATATCTTTATAAACATGTTATATAAAATTTAATCCMGAACTCACATTTGAGTTACTGTGGATGGACTGTACCATGGAGTGCCATTGCTTCTGTAGCTCCTGCATTTCTTTGGACATGTTCTGTAGTCCTTGATGATGATACTCTGGACAGCGAGYCCTCACTCAGCCATGCAACCTTCCTTAATAACAAAGGTAAAATTAGTAGCAGTATTTTGTGAAAAATCTGATGTTTCTCTTACATAAAAACAGAACGTAAATTTCATAGGGTTAAACATGTTAATACACATTTCATAGAGTTCAACAAGATCTACAGTGTTAAAAATGTAAAAGATTAAATTTAATGCAGGAGTTGTGTGTTTGGAAGCTATTCTAAGGCAWTTCCAAAGCCACAACAGCTGTGAGCACCCATAGAGGCTCCCCCTTCTTCCCCTACCACCCCCTATTTAAATGTGAGGGCGCCGTTTCCAGTAAATTACCAGTAACAAGTTGCTTCTCTCTGTTCAGACAATTTATCCGTCTGAGTACTGCAAACTTCAAAGGTGTTCAAACTTACTAGTGTGTGTTTGTGAGCAGCCTGGTGCTTGGGGAACCGAAGTGGGGCCCTGCCCGGCTTCAAGGCGCAACACAAAGCCACGAGCTCTTCCCTCTGTGGCCGAACCCCTTCTTGCTACAAGGCATGGTATGGCCGAGAGCTTGAAAGACACATTTTCCTGCTTGTAAACCTAACCATTTATTGCACAAATATTACTGTTTAATAGCCAGTTTCTAGACCTTATTCACAGAATTATTCACAGAACATTTTTATGCATATTTTTTTCTCTCCTAGTAAAAGCTCGAAGCTCGGCCCGGGGCCGCTGGGCGCTGTGGTTATACGATGCCACCGCCCTTTCCCTCCCCGGCTCTGCAGCCTCCCAGCCGACCGGGAGACCGAAATTTTTACCTCGGCGGCGCCGCTGCGCGCGG